GTTCCAATTGCTGCATTTTAATTACAAATAAAATAAAAATAGTCTAAAATCAATGAAAACATTCTAGCTAATGTAAGAAATCCATGTAAAATTACATTAATTGTTGGTAAAGTATATTGTGCTATCAAAGTCGCGACTTTTTACAATCGGCGAAACGTCCAAATTCGCCGCCAATATACTTCCAAACCAAATGCCCAAAAGTTAAAAAAAAAAACTTTTTTTTTAATTACTAGTTTTTTCATAACATTTATTTACTTTTGTATTTGCTCGCCGTCGTTTTGCCAATCTCAGCCTTTCCAGTTCGAAGGAACGCCTACCTGCTTGCACCGTATGCTCACTGCAGCACGTTTCGTTGGCGTTGGAAGCCGGTGAAACAGCAGTGAGTTTTAATATTGCGTATACGAGCGAACTCAAGCCCTGTGTGTTTGCGTTAGCTTTGCGCGTTCCACACTGCGCGTGCGCGGAGCCCGAAATTCCGGTCTTGGATGGCGCATGGTGATGAGGCGCACGCACAGCGTGGGGCACGCAACTCTAACGCAAACGCACACCGCTTGCGTTTGTTTCTATGCGCAATACTAAAACTCTCCAGTAAGGTACAATCCCATACCGGCTGCAGCACTACGTTAGGACAGTGAAGAGTGTTGTTTGCATTCGGAAACGGCCTTTCGCGAGCCATGATCGCGAGCAGTTCCGCCATGCCCGCTGAGCAGGAGAATCGAGGAACCCTCACTAGAGCGCTTCCCGTTTCCGCCGCGGGAGGGCGAGCGTCGAGCTGGAGACGCGAATAGCAGTCGGATTCGCTTTTCGGCCGGCAAATTTATAAATACACACTAAAACTTACTACATTTGATGCATATCAACAAAGTGAAGCGGTAAAAAAAGAAAATGTGCATCTAACCTTCTGTTTTGAAACTCCACGTGCGACTGAGCCGACCTTGTCGGCGCGTCGGCTCAGAAGCGCGGGACTAGAACTAGGTCATGCCGACGACGCGCCACTAGTATCAGTGTTGCCAAGCTGCTTCAACCGGTAGTTTCGGTTTCGCCGTGCCACCGGACCGATTCTTGCATTCGCGATATCTACAAAACTATACACACTACCGAAAAACAAATTATATCTCGTGATTCAGGGTCGCCGGCTTCAACTAAACAGATCATAACCCAAAAATTGTAAAAATGAAGTGGAGTTGCCCTTTAAGTAAAACCAAACCTTCACACTGCCTCATTCCCACGTAACTCGTGCCTGAAAGTTCTAGAAGTTAAAAGGCAAAAGTAATCCTCCTTCAAGGCGTATTATTATTTGCCACATTCAAGTTGTACTCCTTCTGCTAAATCTTTCAACTTCTTGCTACTTCGTGTCGCCGTGACAAGAGGCATCTCTGCGGGCAACGTCACGAGTCAACATGTTACAACTCTCCAAACAACATGCTCTTTGTATGTGCATTCTCGATGTTGCAATAAAAAAATTAAAAATAAGACGACAAGAAAGGGAGGGGGCACGTCATTGAAACGCAGCAATTGTGTATAAGACGGTTCGGTCAATAAACCCAAATACAACTGCAATTTTGTAAAGACTTCTATTAATTGCAACATTAATAATAGACAGGTTGCGGCACCAACCGACAACGCCAGTCCTCTATTCTCACGCACGGTGTCTGCTTGCCGGGATTGAGGTCTCCATATAGCAGTGTCTGGCAACAGTCCCTAATGTGCACTGCCAGCCTCAGACATGTTGGCGCATATACCAGTGTTCAGTGACCGTGTTTAATAGGGAATTTCCTCGGGAGATATGGAGCGATCCAATAGCACTCCATGCTCGCACCTTCGTTGAAGTAAATGGAAGCGCGCGCTTGCACGTGCAAGATACCAACAAAAAAGCGCTCCAAAACTCTTTAGAAAATTTCCCCATAAGAAAGTGAATCATTTGCGATTCCAGGGGAGGCGACGAAGCCTAGTGGAAAAGATGTGAAAGAGGATGGGGAAGCTATCTCTCATCCAAATCTGCAGCGTAAACTACGTGACCTGGCGGCCAACATGTGAAACGGAGGAAAGGTGATTAAATGCACAAGGTTGGAGTTACAAATGCTGGGGGACAACATTCTCAGGCATTTTTGAAGACAGGTGGAATGCCCGAGCACAGCTTTAAAGGGGTACTCCGGCAATTTCTTCATGGCCTCCGATTTTCTTGAAATTTCGCTAAGCTCGCCAACAGACATCGTTAAAATAGAATCCCAAATATTAGGTCAAAATATTTTTTTTTTTTTTGCAAAGTTACCGAATTTACAGTTTTGGTCCTCACCGTTTTTTCAAACCGAAAGTCTCTACTGGCAACAACGAAAAAGTGATGTCAGTGGAAGTGCAGGGGTTCACTCTTTAGACTGTAGAATTTGTTCCCAACTGAATCCAAGCAGTTTCATGGTGTCAAATGAATGCTTTGGAAGCTCGCTCCAGCCCCCGCGCTCCAGCACGGAGCAAATGATTGGCATATTCTGTTTTTTAGACTGCTTGCTCGACTGGCAAGCCTGCCTGCCACTGACATCGCGACACTGAAAAGTGTGGGTATATTTAAATGTTGGTTTTCGCATCACTTTCATTTGCCGATTTCACAATAACTATTATGAATTTCGCGATACTAAATAGCATACAGGAAAGGGTAAAGGCCGGGGAGTCAGAAAATATGGTTAGTTGAGGTAGCTCAAAAAACTCCGGAGTACCCCTTTAACCGGTGCTCAAACTGTGCAAGCCCACACATTCTTGCCTTTTTTGACTGCATTACAGCCTGCTTTCTAAAAGCAGCATTTAGCTAATGGAAGATTTCCTTAGTAGATTTGAAGTCCTTTTGAAGCACGTTTTTGTCGGCATTTTTTTGGGCGTGCAAGCACACGCTCGCACCTACCACACTAAGAGTGCGAGCATGGGCGCTTCTGGATTGTTCCAAATCCACCAAGGGAATCCTACGTAAAGCAGGAGACTCATGAGCAATGAAAACGGGTGCCACGCGGCAGTACCCATAGCAGCAGGTGCTGGCATCCCTATGTCACTTCTGCGCAGCACCACAGTGCTTGGATCTGGTCCATATAGAATGCCACGTGGCATCCACTTTCATTGCTTTGCTTAAGACTAAAGCATGAAACATATGAGCAATGAAACTGGGTGCCGTACGGCACTTGCTCTACCACAGGCACCACACACGGCCTTTTCTGTATTGACCAGATCCGAGTGCTGCGAAAAAGTGACACAGGTATACCAGCACTGGTTGCTATGAATACTGCTGTGTGACACCCGTTTTCAACGCACAGGTGTCCCCTACCTAAAGAGAAAGTGAAGCGGTTCTGCACTTAAGAAAACAGACTTAAATCGTCTTCATTTGGCCCCCAGGATCACAATTATTGATATTATATTCAAGATTGATGCGCCAAGTGGCCAGAAACAACGCTTGCAAAATAGCGTTAAACCCCTCCTTCCCCACAGATTCAGTGAGAAGAATGAATCGCGACGTATTATACAGAGATCTCTACATTTCTGTGTCTTCCACAAGCTTTACTCGAGTGGTCAAAAGCGCTGCACGCATTCCCTCACAAGCATCACGCACAAGGCAGTTGTAACTTCTGGGTATGACATCATATCCATCGGTTTGTTTTTTCTCTAGTCAACTGATAAGTTGGTGTTAAATGCTTGCGATACATATTCAAATTCACATGACACAAGTACGCAAAAATTCAACCTTAACTTCTTTTTTTTTTTTTTTTTTCAAGGACGTCTCCAGCTCTAGATGGAAGCTAAAGAGGTTCTCAAAAAAAAAAAGAATTAAAGGTGTCTGCCAGGATATTTTTGTCCTGTGAATCGAATATCAAACATTTGACTCAAAACGTATCAATAAACACAAAAAAAAAAAGCCACTGGGTGTGACGTCACACCCACAGGTTTCAGCTGCCTTGCGCATGCCGCTTGTGAGGGAACAGGTGCAGCGCTTTGGACTGTTCGGGTATGGGCTAGCAGACGGCACGGAAGCGTTGAGATCTCTGTATACGCCACAATTCCCTCCTATCACCGAATGTGCCAAGAAGGAGGGAAGCGGCGCTATTCTGAAAGTGCTGTTTGGCTACTTGGAGCGTCAATCTGAAATATAAATAATAATAATAATAATGACGATTTTCATATTCACAATCCTGGAGGTCAAATGAAGACAACTTAGGTGTTTTTTCTCAAATACAGAACCACTTGTTTGTTTGTTGTTTTTTTTTAAGTGGAAGAAAGCGCTGCAAAACTGGGGACTCACAAGCTCCATCCCAATCCCCCCATAGCCGCCTCTTCTCTAGTCTGTGTAATGCCACCACCACATCCTCATTTCTTTTTTGGTGGAGCAGGTTTCTGCTACCACCAGCGTCTCTTTGAGTGCAAATAAATAGAATCACATTATCACATTAGGGACGCCGGACAATTTTGAAAAGTGATTCAAGTGCTTAGCTCGTGCGCTAGTTTGGGCAGTACTTTCTTTCACGCCGCCCCGAAACAGCGTCCTACATAAGTCTAAAAGAAAACACTCTCAAGATTAGGGCACGCATATTCATAAAACCGTTTGTTTTTTTTTTTTTTTTTTTTTTTTTTTTCTTTTTAGAAATTGTTGTTTGATAAGATGTTGTTGACCTTTTCAGCTCGTTTCTAAGGAATTCTGCGTTTAATAACGGCACCGGCACTTGTCACCTCGAGCGCCGATTTTCAAGTTTTGCACGCGCGCTTTTCATTACTTCTAAAAATGCTAGAGAAAGCCGTCCCCGAGTACGGCAAGGAGTCTGACACGCACCTAAGTTTATGCCGAGTACGGCGAGGCATTTGCCACGCACCAAAGTTTACGTAACAGGTGCCCGCGCCCAATCTAAGGCGGTAACTTTGCAAAGTCGCGCGGGCGAGACCCAAGCAGCGTGGTGTGGCTCTCCACTCATCGTTTCGCTTTAGAGGTGTCATTACCCCGTAGTAAAGTAATAAAAAAATAAAACACATACCCATCCAGTTTCCCTTGGGCGCCGATTTGAACATCACGGCTTTGAGAGTTTGCAATAGCTGCACGGAAGATAGAGCGAGGTCAGCGACCACAACTTCGACAACAAAGACCTGTCAGAAGCACTGCGGGACGGTGGCTCGAGACAACTGCCGCGAGCGTGTCGGGGGGAACTCGGACTTGCACACTTCACGAGCCTTGACTGCTGGCTACAATGAAGGTTATCTGTTTCGGTAACGGTGAGATATTTCCCGTTACATGCCAACAATAACAGAACTCGGCATCGGCCTTGAAGGAAACCACCATCAAACTTCGCACATGGAGCTCCTCCAGTGTTGGCAGACTTCGGCGTCTCAGCCACTGAAGACGCTGAATGAAGAGCTCGAAAGAGAACTGTCGTTTTTCAGTGTCTCAAACTCAAGACCTCAAACGCGATTAGTTTTATAGTTTAAATGTTTAATATAAGCTTGTAGTGGTCATTAAAAATTGTGAAATGTACTTTTCTAACGTACTCTGATAGGTATCCAAGGCGTTGGCCATTTGGCCAACTGAAACAAGCTCTCAGCCAACTGTAGCTCAGCCAACTGAGCGACTCAGCTGACTCAGCCAGACTCAGCCCCTCAGCGCTCAGCTGGCTCAGCCCGACTCGGCTGGCTCAGCCTCTCTTTTATTCAATGCAAACGTCAGGCAACGCGTCAGGTCGTCTCACCTTCTTGGGTCTTGTGTGGCAGGTGATCAGCGCTGGGGTCCAGTGACAAGGCGAAAAGTGAAAGATTCCGGGACGCAACCGACGCACCCCTTGACGCTCTGGGAGCAGTGTGACAAAGATTGCGAAGGACGTTGTTGCTGTGCTCGTACCTTGTACAGCCCACATCGGCGCACCGCCAATTTTGTTTTTCAACGCCAGAACAAGCAGGGATGACCATTCATACAGTTCGACGGCGTCAGATATGCAAGCCCCTTCTGTTTACGGTGGATCGGATTCAAAAGTCAACATACCCCACTCTAGCAGTAATGGAACTGATGTCGGTTTGCGTCCATTAGCAAAAGCTAATAATCGATACTCGCCTCTGTGAAATGGAGCACATTTCGTAACATCCCCAGAGATAGGCCAGCTAAAATCGAAAGCAAATCGGGTGAAAGAAAATAAATGCTAGTTTCAGATTTTGTAACCTACGAAACTTGTGATCGCCGGGAAGAGATGAACCAAAGACTACTGTCCTTCCTAATCAGCAATGTTCGCTTATCTCGCGCTCTATAGCACCATTTCTACTGAGGTCACCATTTGCCGGGGCCCTGCAATTACTAGAAGTGGTCAATAAAACTGTGGCTGGGTGCAGTTGGTTCATATCATTAGAAGTGGGCTCAGGGGTTTCCCCAGGAATTGAAATCAGGGGGGGTGTCTAAATTTTTTTGGGGGGGGCATTGCGAATATAGGAGTCGTTGTGAATTAAGGGGGTGCCTTCGGAAAAACGAGGCGGGGTCTAGGGAAATCCCTGAGTGGACTATCTTTAGGGGTTCTTGAAAAAACAGCAAATCGGGCCAAAAATAGGGGTGGGGCATCTCGGGATATTACGGTAAGCTCTCTCCCTGTTCAGCTGTAGAGAGAGGCACATAAAATACATCTACTCACCCATGTGAAACTGTTCATTTCCAGCTGAATTATGGAACTAGTCTTGGCTAGGTAAATACAGCTAGATTGTCTCATTTCCAGCCCAGCTGGAACCAGTTCAGTAATCCGGCTGGAATCGGACTGGGAGCAGAAACTTCAAACATCGTGCGAAGTCATATTTTGTGGCACACGCCGGACACCTTCCTGCAACTCTGGCAGTAAGTGCGGCTCGTGTCGGGCACGACCCACTGTAGCGATGCATCTGGCTCGTAGCTCAGGCACGAGCTATGCACCCTTGCCCTTTTCAAGAAAATTAATATTATAATTAACGCTGTATTCCACTTTGCTGACATTTGTGCTCATTGCCTTGTAGCCAAGCTGAATCAATAAGATTTTATTTGGACTGAAGCTGTATCAGAGGCTGAAGTTAGAGATGAGATCAATCATCTTGCCTGTTTGCTGGATAAAAAGATGTAATTTGCATGGGATGAGTGGAATTTAGCTGTATTAGTGCTCATGTTTTTTTTTTGTTTCTTTTTTTATGCCACCCCCAACTATAGATTGAGACGCTAGTTTGCCCACACTAGGTGTGGGCACTGCGCGTGTGCAGGAACCGAATTTGCGTGGAGTGCAACGTCTGCGCATGCGCAGTGCCGTCGACAGCGCCGCCGCAGCTGCATGACGTCAGGGCCGCGTGTTGGTCTATATGGTATGATGTCGATATGCCATTTTTTGTTGTATGTTGGCATGATGCAGGCACGTAGCCAGGGGGGGGGGGGGGGCATGGGTCCCGGGGCCCCCCCCCCCCCCCCCCCAAAATCTTCCATTTTGCTAGGACCTCCTCTCCCCCCTCCCCTGCATACCGCACTTTGTCATCGGCAGGCCCCACCCCACGAAACAAAATCCTGGCTACGTGCCTGGCATAAGGAAACAAGCTTTTGTGAATTATGCTGAAGTTGAGGCTTGGGCGAATTGGTACATATACTTCGGAATTAAAAACAGCGCGAAAAGACGGGGACCAGACGAAAAAGTAACACGGACACAGCGCTAACTTACAACCGAGTTTATTGATCGCAATTTATACTTGGGTTGTCACAAACAAAAGTTGTAAGTCAGCGCTGCGTCTGTGTTACTTCTTTGTCTGGTCCTCGTCTTTTCATGCTATTTTTAATCCCAAAGTTTTGTGAATTACGTGTTTGAGGGCGTTATCCAACTTCTTGGATCGCTTGCCTTTGGCGCTTGCAGCTCATAGCGACAATAGGTAGACGAAATTACGTCGGTGAAAACATCCTATTGTACTAAAATCAGCCTTTATCGTAAAATACCGCCAAAGCGCCCACTATTAACATTTTCCAAACTTGGGAATTCCGCAAATTATATGTTAAAGGGACACTGACACCCCCTAAAAAAAAATAGTTTATGTTTTGCCAGGAACAACTGCTCGAAACCGAAGTTTGACTGGAAAAGAAGAATATAAAAGAGAAAGTTACCGGAAGTCAGGTGGCTGTGCTCTTTTTTTCTTTTTTTTTCAATCAATGTATTTGCAGCCACAAAAAATGGGTATCATTTTTTCTCTATTTTTAGTATTGAGTGTGTTAATGACCCACGATTTTGATTATCTTTGGTGGTTGTGTCTAAGCCATAGAAAATGTCGTGCGACCATGGAGAAGAGAGTGAGCGTAACTCAAACGGACTAATTCTCGATTGACAGTTTTCGAGAGGAAAAACAAATTTCGTGCCGCAAATTGTTCTCTGGGTAGTTAGGCTCTCATACGTCATGTACAAATAAAGACCTTGGTGAGCGTAAATACCCTGTCAGTGTCCCTTTAAGCGCCCAACCTCTCCGAAGCCCCAGTATTGGCCGAAAATATTGTCCCTGTTGCGGCAGCCAGGAGACCGCCAGCTGCGATGACGGGGCCATCGTGCGAGAATGAATGTGCTTTCTCAGATTCCGTTCACCCTGCCTTCAAAGCTTTATTGGCCGCCACGTTGGCTTTTACTGACTCGACTGGACGAGCGCCGATGTCTAGATTAGACAACTTTTCGGTGCAAGTAAGGTGGGCGCTTACCCGGACATTTTACAGTAATGTCCATTTTGGTCCCTGCCACGTGTCTGTTTCGTGCTTTGCGCAAGCGACCGTCGCTTCTCCGTTGACACCCTTGTAAACCTTGCAGGACCGCTCTCTGGAAAATTGTCCCCCAAAGAAAATGTGGAAAATGACACATTGCTGCCCTGGAGAGATGTCCCTCCTCGCCACCTGAGCCAAGTCGACATTTGGCAGCATGCACATTCTCCCCACAGGGCCTTTGTTTACACTGATGGGATGACAACGGTAGGGAAGTCCAGTTGCCTCGCCCTCCAGCTCGAGCTTCCCGTCCTTGGATGGCACTTCAGCATCTCGTGGGCTTCAAGCATGCACGTGCAGCTGAGGCATGATGGAAGGCATGAAGCGCGTGCCGGTTCATCTAAAAGAAATGCCCCTTCATTTTAATCCTGTCTGCGATATAATGCCGCAGCGTTGAATCGAAACAGTGTCGCCCGGTTTTGGGCCGCTGCGTGGAACCCACCATTTCTTGCTTACTCGTTGACCCACCAATCCCATTCACTGCATTTATGCAAACAAGACCGGATATGATGTGATTGCTTTGCTGCAGTTGCTCTTGCCTAGCCCTTAAAAACTATATAAAGTGTGAAAGCTTCCTTTGCTGCGACTGCATTCTTGTTCTAAAAGTGGTGCCTCTTTCCGCGGGTGGCGTACAATATGATGTCAACTTTCCTCTGGTACTGCGACGTCTCCATAAACGTCCTACAATGGATCACAGACCACAGCAATTAGTGCAACTTGGGGCCGTGACGATGTAAGCTGTGCTGGATTGGTCGAAGATGTGTTAGGGTAGGCAGAAGCTCCACGTTATTGGGGATGTGCCAATCTCTTTTACGCTACCTGTAGTGTAATCTTTTATGTTGCAGGTGCTTGTTTACTTTTACTGTTCTTGCTTATTAACCTTGCTCACCGGTTTCTTGGTAGTGGAGTGGATGGTTGCCGAAGTGCTTGTACGCATGCGCAACTTAGTGCTGAAAGCCAGTGCAGCCTCAATTCATTCTGAAGCTAGCAGTATCCATGGGCATAGATACTCGGGAGTCTGGGTTCACGACTTTAATATTTCATCGATCTAAAATATGGAATAGTAAGCTGTTAGCATTGCATTTCCTCTTTGTACCTAGTAGGTAAAATGGCTTATGGCATGCCCTTCCAACATGGTTCCGCCTTAACCATTGAGGCAGGAGACGCCCAAGCGATTGCACTTTGATTCAGTACAGTAAGGCTAGGCGAGTGATGGAAACTACCCATTTCATCTATAAAAACAACTTGTGTTATTGTGCGTAGCTATGACCCGGAAAATATTGGCCCCCTTCCACAATGCTAGTACTGCTTTTTCAGGCCGACTGTGGTGACAGCACTGTGTGCACAGTCGAGGTGGCCTAATGTCTGCACGTTCGCGTCGGTGACTATACTCAGCGTCAACTTATTTGTGCAACACCGCCAAGGCTAGCACAGTTTCCACGACACTGTTAAGCCTACTTGTGCAAGCATGCGGCTTTGTTCCGCGAATTCAATAGAAGGTTGAGCCAAGTGCTAGCTCAGCTGTGCGGGGCTGCAGCACTTGGAGAAACTGTTAGGCTCTACACCGTCATGGGGGTATGTCGAGAACTTAAGCCAAGCACAAACTCTTAATCTTATTTGTCGTGTCTTCCCAATGCAGCACCGGACTGGTGGCATGGTCCGGAGAATGTTCACCCCAAGGGCAGCGAGCCGCCTTGTCTACGAGGCAGCTTGGGCAACTGGCCATCCCAGGCACAGCCACAGCAAGAGGGCTCTCACCAGTGTCGCTTTTGTCCCTACACCAGCCGTTACCGGCAGAACATTACCAGCCACGAAAGGAGGCACACGGGGGAGAAACCCTTCAGCTGCCACTTCTGTCCGAAGGCGTTTGGCCAGACCTCTCACCGACTGGTCCACGAAAGAACTCATACGGGCGAGAAACCTTTCCGGTGCGAGGTCTGCCAGAAGGCGTTTGTACAGAAGTCCGACATGTTGCGACACAAAAAGATCCACACCGGGGGCAGAAAGCCGCACCAGTGTGGAACGTGCGGGAAAGCGTTCATGTTCCGATACACCCTGTTGGACCACGAGAGGATTCACAATGGAGATCGGCCGTACGTGTGCGAGGTGTGCGGGCAGACATACACACGGAGTTGCCATTTGAAGGATCATCAGAAGAGTAGGCACATGTGACTTGTGCCGTGCAACATCAGCGGAGATGGTTTGTGGGGATAAAGTTCTGCCTGGTGCTTCACTGCCAGTCTTTAATATTTTTTTCCGCTACCTCCGTGGCTCCAAGGCAAAGCTTCGGCCTACGGATGCCCAGGTGGTGGGTTCGAGTGCTGGCTGGGGTGCAAGCAATCTGACGGAGGCTTATTACGGAGAAGATTTCGGTTGCACAACACAAGGTACCCAGGTAGTCGAGATTAATCCTCCATTTTCCGCTGGGGCATGCCAGATGCCCTTCATTTTTTTGGCGCATAAAACCTCAAAATTTGAATGTTTCGATGGACGAAGAGCATGTTGATGCGATCGAGATTAAAGTAAAAATAAACGTAGGACAAAGACAACACAACCACATCTTTCATGAAAGATGTGGTTGTATTGTGTATGTCCCACATGTTTATTCTTTTTTAGAGCACAGCTCGTAGACGCCCGTATCCAGCTTGAGCAGCGTCGCTGTCGGTGTAGCTGCGTACGTTGCGTTATGACACGTTTCCCCGCTGAAGTTAGCGGGCAAATTTTCCTGCTAAATTCAGCGGGAGACTTTTTCCGCTAAATTCAGCGAGGAATTTTTTATGCTAAATTTTGCGGGGAAATGTTGCCACTAAATTTAGCAAGGAATTTAGCGGAAAAAATTCCTCGGTAAATTTAGCAGGGAAAGTTTCACTAAATGGCAGAGGAGGGTAGAGGGGGACGAGGGGCATACCCTCCCCTCCTCCTCCTCAAGAGCTGTGCTCTAATTCGGCATTACAGAGAATTGTAAATGTCTTTCATTTTTTTCCACTTGAATATTTGCTTGTGTAAAGAAACATAGCAATAAGGTTCCTCAGCATCTTTCCGCTCAGGGTGATGACATTGTTGGTAGTACTCTGTGACGACAGGACGCGCTCACTGGAAAAATGGAAAGAGATGGGTGGAAACAAAATGCCGCAGCAGCAGTCGATGCCAGGAGTTTGTGCCAGGAGACACGCTTTGAGGCACTCTAGAAAACAAAAATACAAAAATGCTATCGGGACAAAATGGTTAGATGTCATCACCCTAATCAGTGCGTACATGAAGTCATCCTAGTAGTAATATAAGCAACTTTACAGTCAAGTTTCATCATATATGAACAGTGTCATTTGTTGCGATTGATCCTCCAAAGATAGCTGCAGTACCACACACTGTTCTGCTACTGTTTTTTGTTCCCCTGGTACCTCGAAACATCTATGGATTTCTTTCTGTTGACCTTGTATAAGAGTAATCCCCACCAAATGTACTTCGATTTCGTCAGACCTGGTCGTAGTTTTGTCGCTTCTAAAGTAGCTCAAGATTGCCGCACATTAATTTGCACTAGAGTAGGCTCGCGATAATTCAAACTCTGAGATTTCATACTTCTGGTTAATTCAAACAAATTTCAAAATTTTGGTTGTCCCACTAAGCTTTTAATTTATTCATAAGCCGCTTAATTCAAACAATGTTTTCGTGTAATTTATACGTTTTGTTCTCGCGGCCCCTTTGAGTGTGCTTCTTTCCGAGCACGGGTGCACTCCAGAGGGACAACACCGACGGAGCTTGCTTCCGCGGGTGTTGCTTCTCCGCAGTGCACAGGTGCTCGGTGGAGAAGCGCATTCAACGGAACTCAAGTTGGGCACGGACGAGCTATGTGAACAGGCACCACGCGAAAATTTCCATAGCAATTTGCGCAGAAGCTGCAACGTGGCGGCATGGCAAAGGCCCACGTTAGAGCGTCCGCGCAGGTTCCTATGAAAGCCGCCGCGTGGTGCCAATTCTCACCGCTCATGTGTCCCCTGTGTAATAGTCCACATCAAACAATTTCCTGGTCTGATGAACAAACTTAATTTTGTTTTGTCATGTGCCAAGAGTCCACAAAAAAAAAAAAAACACACATTTTTGAGAGATAAGTAAACTTATACACAGTGTCTAGCGTTACGTCCAACGAAACCCAAAATAAAGATTAGACTTACGTTTGACGTAAGCTTGCCCCAAGGTTTTGAGTTACGTCCAATCTAACCCAATGTGAAAATTAAAGTTACGTTCAATCTAACCCAATGTGAAAATTAAAGTTACGTCCAACGGAACTTGAAATAAAAACCAAAGTTACGTCCGACGTAACTTTACCCCAAGATAACTTTATTGAATGTTATGCTTTACAGCCAATACATGATGCAAATACAAACATATCGTGATTGGTTAATTGGTTAAAATTTCGACATCACCTGCACCTCCAGGTACAGATGCCCGTCACATTATTTTTTTTTCTTTCTCGTGTTTTTCCTTTTTTAAGACAATTTTTTTTTCTCCTTTAAGACGATTTCTTGCGACGCCTTCCAAAAATCGTGGATGTTCGGAGCAATTGTTGAGAGATATAATGGGAGTGTGATATGAATGTGCTGTTCACAGCAGCAGGGTTCCCTGTAGACTTGTTGAACACTGGCACAGTCTTCACGTACCACTCAAGTCGCCACGTGCACTAGCTTTGGCAGTGTTTTCTTCCAGAATGTCTTAAATAAAGAGCTGTTTGGAGGGTGCCGCCCGGGTGTGAGAGTGGCGATAGACCTTCGGCCTTTAGCCGTATCAACCTAGCTCTCAGCCCGAGCCAGCAAGGGCTACAAGCAGGTGAAAAAAACGCGGCAAGGATAGCAAGAAGGGTTTTGATATCGAAAAAAATGCAATAAGGTGGGGAAAGAAGAGAAAGAAAAAAAAAATGTATGTGACTGGCATCAAACCCACACAGCCTCAGCAGCCCCGATGTGCGAGGAACACACTCCAGCCCTCTCAAAAAAGCTAAAGCACGGATGAAGTTGAGATTTTAACCAATTCAAGAATGCTGCATCGGACATAACACAGTAATAGTTCACAATAGTTTCGTATTTATGTCATGTATCGGCCATAAAACGAAACATACGCATAGGTTGCGTAGGTGACAGAGGACACAACGTTCAACTTTTATTTCGGGTTCCGTCGGACGTAACTTCACTCTTTATTGAAAGTTCGGTCGGAAGTAACCTTAATTTTCATATTGGGTTACATCGGACGGACGTAACTCGAAACCTTGGGGTAAAGTTACATCGGACGTAACTTTAATTTTTATTTCGGGTTTTGTTGCAAGTAACGCTAGACACTGCGAAACTTATATGTCATACATTTTACAAATTTCATGTGTGACTTACCTGCTTATAATCTATGTGGAGGAAATCATAAAATATCTATTTTATCTTGCATCATATTTAGTTGAATTTCTGGTAACTGAAACAAAATTTCTGGCCTCCTGGAGTTTGACTTATTGAGTCTACCGTATTCCCGATATCGCAAAGCAATGTCTGTTTACACTACATACTTCACCGACGATTGTGCATTGTACGCATCAGTGTCTTGTGAAGCGGGTTCCACTTGGCTTACGAGTGATCTAAAACGAGTTGAAAGATGGTGTATAATAAAATGACCGTGAATATTAGTAAATGTGTCAATGTTTGTTTCACAATAAAACGCAAGAAATTGGTTAATCAGTACTTCCTCAACAATGAAACAATTAAGAATGAAGCTACATATAAATATCAGGGTGTGATATTCGCTGAAGACTGGTCGTGGACAGCACAAGTGGATAGCGTGGTTGGCAGGGCAGGCAGGGTGAGGTGTCGGCATTCGGCACATACTCAAGTCCAAATGTATTCAATACGAGTGCGCAATCATTGCTCAGCATGGACTCGGATCCCACTGCATGCTTTGCCCAGGAAGCTGAGCTTGAAATAGGGTGGCCGCCAATGTTGCTCGACTGACTTTTGAAAAGTGTCTATTCGGCCAATAGATGCTCGGCGTTTTTCACGTCCTGAACAGGGAACCTCAAATTTCAAATTGTCCATATATGTGAAATAAAATTAGGTTGTGCGTGTGTTTATACAACCTAGAACTTGGTCTGCCCTAACGGGCGACAAGTCTCCCGCTGTAGGTGGGAACTTTAGCCAGTGAGGTACAAACCGCTAGCCTGGGGTCTTAAACGTGCACCACGCAGCAGTAATACACGACCGCACGCCGGTACGATGCTCATCCAGATCGAAACGGGCAGGGGATTGAAACCCGGATTCCTGGGTTCTGCAGCGCAAGCTTTTGCTCCATGTACTCCGAGTCGGTGTGCACTAACCCACTCGGCGACCAGCCCCCCCTCAATATGTGAAAATATTGAATACACCGTCGAATTGGAATTTGAAAAAAAAAGAAGGAAGAAGAAGCGTTGGATTTCTGGTAGCTAGTCGGGTGTTCCCAGGCCGCACTGATGATGTCTCCCGTATAGGAGACGAAACGTCTGATAAATGTTGGTATTGTTATGCAAGTCGGAGGTATTTGTTTTTAATCATGAATCCCAGCTTTTGGAACATTTTTGCATTTAACCGTCAAATTCTTCTGGTTTCCAACCAAACTTGCTTTGCGTGTACAACCAACTTTGTATGTGTTCTCGACGAAGTAGAAACATGATGATTGCCCTCATTTGAAACGCAGCCTTTTCAGTTCAACGTGCCGCTCTAGGCTTTAAGAGGCACTTTTCCTCCTTTCTAGAAGGAATATGTGTCAAGCCACACCACGGATGTGGCGCTTGGTCCTATCTCGCATTAAGAAGCTGCAATCAGCGTTTTCATTGTGGTTCGAGCCAGGCTTTTGTGTCCACAGAGGACAGCAGCTCGAGGCTTAAAAGTATGTGTACTTTGTAAACGTTCAGTGAGCCTAACAAGCACCAGGACTGGTCTAAGTCTTTTATGGCCTTTATTTAGTTGTGATGTGGGACCTGCAGGGAGGGGTCCACCCCCCTAATTCCCAGAGGAAAATGCTCTGGTCGATAAAAATGGCACCCTTTTCCCTTCGTCAGCAAGCCACAAGACATCTGCTTCTATGACACCATACATATTCTATACAAGTGTCAGATCAATGGTGCTTAGCACCTGCCACTCAGTTGCTTAACAGTAGAGAGCCATTGGCACGCCAGCCCTCTTGTGTGGGTGCCTGTTCACACTCTTGCGACCTCTTAAAACTGGGTTCCTTAAGACCTCTTACAACAAAAGGACACACTGGCACCATCTATTGGGTAGCAGTGTGAACTTGGTGGTCCGGCATATTTTCTATTTCTCTCGCGCATCATCCTTTCTTTCTTGGCTCGAAAAACTTTTGTCAACGTTATAAACGCACCTTTCTTAGAGGTAGGTATTACACACAGTTGACATTGAAAATCCCGCAAAACCTTCACTCTTGTGAAATGCAGTTCCAGGGTAACCGTATAGATGGCGCCAGCGTGCTCTCTCCTAAGAAATTTTAAGAAGTTAACAGATCTCGTCTCTCTCGGTCGTACTCGGTTGCAAGAGTGTGAACGGGCCTTTACATGCTTTTCCACGGCCAATTGGTGATTGGGCACAAAAAAGGCCAATCACCAAATGACTGGCCTCTCATGGCCAACGAACTGGTAATGTGCCTCTTTTTGTAGCCAATCGCAAATTGACTGGCCACAAACAAGGCCAATCACCGGTTGATCAATCTCTCGGGACCAAGGAATTGTCGACTGTTGATGACACTGGCCAAATGCTCATCGATCGGCAATTTTTCTGTCAATCGTTAGGCAAGAAAAGGGTACTTGGCACGTCTGCACGCAGCTTCTGTTGTTTGTTGCTCTAGCGAGATGGAGCCCCTAGAAAATGTGGCCCCCTCCCTACAGAAAAAAATCAAGCAGACGCAACCAAGAAGGATAGCGGAGCAGCACCTTTAAATATGGTCATTTATTACCAGATATATTGGCGTACAAATCGCTTGGCAGTTTTGGTTCGTCAGTCACTCTTGCATCGGCGCGAGAGGCCGCGACGCTGATTCCGCGCAACTGCTAAGAAGGCATCAGATTTTTTTTTTTCTTTTCCTCCGAGAAGTAAGACGATCGACACACCATGCTCGCTTTCTTGTTTCTCCTAGACAAACTTAACATCCTCTTCCTCGTTTTTTCTCAAACCCTGTCGCAAAAAAAATAATAAAGGGAGGACGGATACACCGACCCAAGTCTTTGACGTCGCTGGCTAAGCAGCGAAGCGTGCACAGACGATTTGCTCTTCGAGAAATAAAAGGAACACTTCTGCACAAGCTCATTTCCAAATGATGGGTCGGTGTATACACTCCCGTCGACTTTAAAAAGAGGTTAAAAAAAAACAAGAGCAATAGAGAGGGGGAAGGTGACGCGCTTCCTTCAAAAGTGAGCACAATTTCCGAAGGAAGACCACAAAAAAAAAATAAAAAAGACAACAACAGCGGAAGATGAAGGCGGCACTAACCAAAAAAAAGAGCAAGAGAAGTAAGTGAGGAAAGGGGGCGGTACGGCAACGAGAAAGCGAAAAACGAACATCCCGCGAACCTCATTGCCGTCTTTATTTTTCTTTTTTACGGCTGCGGCGGCAGACCCTTTGCTCGTCCCCGTCTCCCCTTCGTCCAGTACTAGAAGGCTACCCCAAAAAACGGCGAGGAGGAAGAAGGAAGAGACGACTTGGTAGCGGTAGAAACGGTGGCTGGATGGCGCTGGGAGGCTGCTCAGTACCCGGTGAGCTCTGTGAAGGTCTGGTCCAGTTCGTCCGAGATAGCTTTGTACTTCTCTTTCTCCTGGACAAGCTCGTCTGGAAAGGCAAGGACCCCGAATGGAGGGCGGCTCGCGGGCGGCACTCTCCGTGCCGACGTTGATACGAGCCGGCAAGTTGTTGCCGCTCGCGTGTTAATGGGCCTTTTCCACTCACGAAGGCTAAGCGAAATTGCAGAGTGTTGAAAGTAAAATGCTGGGCTACCCTTGCTCCCCGCCGTTACTGGCTGCCGACGTCCTTCCGTATGCGCCACCAGAAGAGGTGGACAGCCACGACTGCTATCACAACGAATGCACGTAGGCAACCACGGAGAAGGCACGTTCAAACCCATAGGTGACCGACCAATCATGCTTCAAATCATCGTAAATTTTAATTTACGATCTGATTAATTTTAGCCAAAACTATAATAAAATCCGAGGGTGGTGCTTCTCTGTGCTAAACCGAAAAGCTGAGGAGCACAGAACACGAGGTAAAACTTTTCATACGCTTCACAACTCTACCGTGGGCTGACTTTTGTTCTATATGTTTTTTTGATGTTCAATAAAATTGCTATTATTATTGAGTCGAAGGAGACGCAGCTGTAGTGAAATGGGCAAGTTTGAAATAAGGACTTCACGCAGGTGGCCAATTTTTTTCAGGGTCTAATAATTTTACGAGCCTTCAGCAAAAAGTATGGTTTTAGCTCACAAGGGTCCATGTTGCTTGTGCAGTCTAAGCTCGTTTATAACAGACCTTGATTTTGACAAAGATTTAGGTCTGTTGTAAAAGGAGTATGTTGTATGCAGGTATGAAGTTGAGTCAATGATGCATAAAGGAAAACCAACTGAACTTCACAAATCGGTATGTCATATCCAAATGTCTGTTGTAACCATGACTGTTATAATGAGCTTAGACTGTACCATAAAATGGGGCTGAGCGACTGACGTGCCCAGGCTTCACTAGATCGAACCACCAGTCGGCTTTAGTCGAGTTCAGGCACGTCATTTCTTCCGCTGTCAGATGGACTAGCCACCGGTGGAACTGCCCTCACAAGTGGCTGCCCCTGCTGGCTTTGAGGAATTTGAACCAGTGCCAAAAGACATTCGCTGCTCAGCATGTCACGGGTAAATAATGCACGAAACCACAACCATAGTGCAACAGATTTAGATCAGGATTTCAATTTCTTAAATGAGTTGCATACAATAGCTAGACCTTCTCAATTCCCCGACTAACTACGAGAAAATTAAACGAGCTTGATCATGCTGACAAAGACTGGTAAGCATAGAATGTCACTGTGGATGGCGACCCTCACTGGGCGTGGGAGGAAACGTGTTCATATTTATGATTTTTTACTTAACTGATACGATTACCGATACACAGGAAACACGATGCCGAAGTCTTCAGAACACTCCGAGGATGTACGTGACAAAGTAGCTTTCTCGTTCTGTCACGAGTCTTTCCAACTCCCGTGTAACTGTTTGTCAAGTTCCTCCACCCAGCACCTGGCTTCAGGCTAAGCCTTCCATCGCCCATACCAACCGCAGCAAAGACAAAATCTCAAAGCGAACGAGGCAGCCGCTTAAACTACGCAATGTTTAAGCTACGGAACATAATTAAGCTGAGCTCATTAATCAAGATGGATATAAAACATGACTACAAAAGACTGGCAAACACAGATGAGCAAACCTCGAAAATAAACGTTAAAATATCAGTCAAACGACAATCGAGGTTTCTGAAAATGTTTGCCTGGTATCCGTCGTGACATGTTTCTACAGCAAGGTTTTATCAACCCTGCTGACGGGAGGTATTAAGAGACACCCATGCAACAACCTCAAACACCATAAACAGGCGATTAGAACGTCACACAATGCAACCAACGGCATGCAAGGCACCACAGGCAAACCCGGAAAACCATGGGTGCATCACACTGAGTAGTCCTTGGACGTCAAGTGGGACAGTCTTTCACCGCAAACTCTTTAGAAACGGACACTAGACTACTAGGGGCACGTCTGCATTTCAGAATTCCCCATATCTTAAGGGAGGTGTACCTGCCTCTCGGCGAGTCTACTGGAAAATCGCTTGGAACCGAGGCTGCACCTCGAGCAGGTTGAGTTAAGACTCAAGACAGCTTTCTGTTAAGCCGTCCCAATGTTAATTTCCCGCTTTTATGCGCACACAGCCCATAGTTTAGTCTGAAGCAGAGGTTCTTTCCCAATACACCACAATGGACCAGTAAGGAAGTTTCTACGGCAGTACACTTAGAGCACTCTGGCAATCCTAGACAAAACCCTCCTCAGACGTAGTGTGAGAAAGTTTGTACACGGCATAACAACGTCGCAGAACACCCACGAAGATGCGCGATCGACGTGGGTGTTGTCAAAATGACGTCGGAAAAGTAAACTTGGCCACAAAAGGCACAAATGAGAATAGCCAGAAGCGTGGAAGTGCTTTTCATTACCTAGCCAAATATGAATTGTAACACATACAACCTCAGAAACGTTTAAATTTACTAAGAACTCTATGCTCCAGATTTTAGTTTTAGCAAGTTTGATACTTTTCTAATTTGCTACACCTCGAGCAGGCATGTCGCAACTCCCTTAAAAACCGACACCCTCTACAGGACAGGGTGGTGAGGGGTGGGGGGTATCAAGAGGCAGCGAGACCAATGCCCCCTAAAAGACGAGGCCTGCGTGGGTCGTCGTCGTTAGTGGATCTCCAACCTGCCCAGAGCAGCAAACGTGATGCTCTGGTGGTGACGCCAACGCGTGGATACACTAACGTTGACGTTTGGGGGGAAGAGGAGCGCAGGCCACGTCTTCCAGGTGGTTACAGGTAGGGGCCACGCGTCTGCGTGGGGAGGGGGGCGGATGCGGTTAGTCCAACCTTGGCAAAGGGAAGAAAAGCAGCAGGCAGGCAGGAGCGTCGCACAAGGGCCAGGTCACATCGCCTGCAGGTCCTTCAAGGTCGTCTCCACCTCTTCCTGGAGCATGTGGTTCTTCTCGCGCTCCGCAAGCAGGTCGTCTGCCAAACACAAGTGTGTCCTGCCCAAAGCCTCCTCGCATCCGGCAACCCCGGCTCGACCGGTTCACCGACGTGGCCCCCCGTAGAGACCACTGGCTAGGCTAGACCCCAAGGTTCTCCGATGCCCCGAGGTGAAGGGGAAAGCCAAACGAATCCAATCCGATCGCTCCGTCGTGCGCCGTCAGAAGTTTGCATCCCCAAACCTCGTATCCGACGACCCCAGCTTTAACTGTCGTGACCCTCTATAGAGTTTGCCGGCTGGGCTAGATGCAGACTACGAAGGAATCTAATCCAGTCCTTTCGCAGGCGCCACTCAAGGCTCCTTCGCTCGGACTCAAAACAGGTGCCTGCTCGCATTCTGCCCATTACGATCACTTCTCATTGAATTGTTTCGGGACCCATCCATTGCTTGCTAAGTTTGAAATAAAGCTTGACAACTTGGTTCGAACTTGATAATTCTCATGCTTCCTATTGGTGGCTGGCATCCCAAAGCGTGGGTTCTACAACAAATCGGTCGAAAACCCAATTTTGCCAGAGAGCCGCTCAAATCACCCAAGTTTCACGACGTAATCGGCGCGTGAGAACCACCGTCTGCACGTTATTGTCGTCCAAATGGGAACTCTCTCCTAGACTGCCCTGGTCTACAAACAAAACGCGCGTTAATTCTGTCATGCAGTTATAGAAGAACAAACAACACACAGACCAAGTTCTCACTTCAAACAGTTAGAAAAAAAGAAAAAAGAAGGTACCCGCACCGCACGTACACCCCCAAGAGTCCCAAAAACGAAGGGAAGGAAGGGGAGAGCAGGGCAGCCTCTCTTACCTTCCAGTCTGTCCACTTCCTTCTGGAGCTTCTGCACCGACCTCTCGGCAAATTCGGCTCTCGCTTCGGCCTGCACGGCGAGAAAGACCCCGTGAACCTATCTGGCAGCCGCCAATTCGGAGAGCTGTGACGGAACCGACGGTTCCTCTACTCCGTGAAATTCTACACACTCCGTTTTAGTCTACACCAGGCAGGGCAACTCAAGACGCTAGACTACTACGTGCTATAGGGAAGAGACATTAGTTTCGGGGATCCATCGCATGGGGAAGAAAGGGATGCAGAGTCGAGAAGCTAAGATAACTCTTAAAACCACCAAAGTTCCAGTGTCAAACATTTTTTTTTTTTTTTGCTACAGAGGCTCGAAACGAAGTCACTGAATTTCCGTTTAGTGCCCTCATAGCTGTGCTCCATGCGCTTTAATAGCTACACCCATATCCCAGGCTAAAAGCTGTTCCCGTCTGCTAACTCCATCCGATCATGGTTACGAACACAAATTGGGAAAATGCGGCCGAAGGCTGAATAGAGAGGGAAAAGAATTCATTTTTCTGCCCTCGGACTCATTTAGGGAACATCTTAGACACCTGTTCCCAAATCTAGCGCGCCGACAAGACTTCTTAAAGTAACGACCTTCTGTGTAATAGAAAACAAGATTACCTCCCCTTCCCGACACAAACAACTTTTTTTTTTTCTATGTCCTTAACAAAGTTTTTGTCTGCACACCAGTTTCGAACCCGCCTGACCATGCTCTAGCAACTTGAGTCGCAAACCTGCACTAAATACACAGTTAGTTGATGCAACATCATCCACAAAAGTTGGGTCATTAAACTATATTTAGGTCCCTAGGATTACAGAGTCTCAAAACTAAGGTTAGTTTGACAAACTACGATCAGGCCTCTAAACTACGACCAGGTCTATAAACTAGGATTACAGGGAGTTCATAAACTATGATTAGTTCCATAAACTACTATCAGGTCCCTGGACTATGATCAGAAACCTAAGCTAGGATTACAGGGAGTCCATAAGCTATGATTAGGTTCCTAAAGTATGATTAGTCCCACAAACGACGATCAGGTCCCTAGACTACAATCAGGTCCCTAAACTAGGATTACAGGGAGGACCTTCGAGGGTAGGCGCAAACGATTAGGCCCTCTCTCTCTGTCTCTCTCCCTTGGAGGTTCCGAGAGCGTACCTCTTGGAGCCTACTGGTCATCTGTCGGATCTGGCCCTCGTAGGTCTCCTCCTTTTGCAGGGCCTACCGTAGTCCGGCGGAGCGTCACGAGAACAAAAGAGACAGAACGTGTTAGGGCGTAAGGAAAAGGGCACACTGTACCTCCTTCAGTTTGCCCGTCATCGAGCCAATCTGACCGGCGTACGACTCCTCCCGCTGTTGGGCCTGTGGCAACGAGCGAGCACACACCGTCATGCGACTCCCCAAACACTGTGCGGCCATCCCTTGACCACGGGCTCTCGCAAGAGGATTCCTAGGTATCCAGGGGCTCCCCAGAGTACACTCAGGCGCTCCCCAGAGTGCCCTTAAGGGTTTTCCAAGTACCCTCAGGGGTTCTGTCAAGTACCCTCAGGCATTCACCAGAATACTTTCAGGGATACCCCAGAGTACCTTCAGGGGTTCACCTGAGTACCGTCAGGGGTTTCACGGAGTACCCACAACGGTTTTGCAGAGCACGCTCAAGGATTTTCCAGAGTTCCCCAAGGTTTCCCTAGAGTACGCTCAGGGGTTCCCTATAGTACAATCAGGAGTTCCTTGGAGTACCTACAGGGGTTCCCCAAGTGCGCCAAGGGGCTCTCCAGAGTACCAAGGGGTTCCCCAAGTGCCAAACACCCCTAGTACACACGTTATTGTTTTCAAAATATGCAGGTACCTGGACTGTTTTAGTACATCAATGTTAAGACTGGGGGGCCTCGAGCTCTGTAAGTTTGAGAACTCCTACTCTAGAGCAAGGGCTTTTGTAAATGAATGCCCAAACTTTCTATTCTCTGTGGTCCTTACTCCTACACAAAGATTTCCTCCAGTTTGAAGTCATTATTTCAATCTACCATGCAATGATGTATGACTACGTAGCGTGGTATCCCCAGAGTACCCTGGGAAGTTCAATCCCATGAGCATTAAAATTCTTTGTCATTTCTATCTCCACGTAAAGACTTTCCCAGTTCAAAGACACTATGTTACCCTACCCGAACCACGTAATGATGTGTCAAACACTCGTTAATGAGCGCATCATTGTTAGTAAAGTCTGTTAGCCTTTTAACTGTCTCACTGGTTGCCTCAGCTGTTGCTCGAGGCAGATAAATGTTCCCAGAGAAGAAAGAATTTAAGAGCCCTTGGTTAACTGAGTTGCTGGAAAAACAAGTGGTGCTAAAGTCTAGGTATGATGCGCCACTGAAATCTAATCCACCGCAAGAGGGAAGCATTGGGAATGTGCAATCACGTTCAATGTGAGCCGAAACAGTCCTTCGCGCTTCTTTGGCATAGCTGCCCGTTTTTGAGAGAGCTGTGGTCCAAAAATAGGAATGGAAAGCGAATCTGAGGACCCATACTTTGGATTTTTGAGAGACAATGAAGCTTGTGGGGACTGCAGACACAGAAAAAGGCTGGATGGTGTGTTTCAGGTCAGTAATGATTGTGACAGTACAACTTAGTAAGGCAATGAATTTCAGAACACACTCACAAAGAATGGCAACTAAAATTTCAACGAGTTGTTAGAAAGTCAATATGGTGCACTCTTTTGCCCCTAAGGTAGCAGCTCAAAACGCCATTGTCCTTGCACTTTGATACTAAATTTGAAACAATTGGCCATTCACCCCCATTGCAAATACGGCTGCACAAACATATCAATCGAGAGGTGGATAAAGGGTCGAGCAAGTCCACAAAATGCCAACCTATGCTGGCTTCAAGATAACGGCTACCATGATCCTTAGTTGGCACCAATACAACACAAACCAGACACAATCACCTCCTCTTTACGAGAAATGTCACACTTCCCGTACTCGCTGGTCAAGGAATTTCACAGAACCAAGACAACACACTGTCCAAACAATTGAAATAGATCATCGGCGGGAAAACTTGCACATCTAAATTTAATATTTAAAGCAACAGGCAATGCCACGGACAACTATGATGCGAGCCTCATGTCAGTGCAAGCAGGTAAAACCTTTTCAAAATTTCATTATAATTGGCGAGAAGTACGAACAGGTAAAGAACAGTGACTTCTGCTCTTTGCATTCCTCTCACCTTCTCCTCACTGACTTCCAGGGACTTCAGGTTGTTGCCAACCACTCGCAGCTCCTCCTCAAGCTCCACAATTTTGCTGCAGAGGAGAGTGCAGAGAGACAACGCTCGAGACAAGATCGGGGAGCGTGCAGTTCACTTCACAATGCTCATCGACTCCTCTCGTGCCTCGTTTGGTCGAGATGCTTAGTCGTTAGCGCTTCGTTTCGCCTTTCAACCCGAGCATCAGACTTAGGCGCCACTTCTTCGTATCTACGCTGGAGCAATGGCGGTCGGCTCGCATGCACTCTAGCCTCCACCTAGTAACCTACGAAAGTGCCCAACCTTAGGAAGCTAGTGTGCAGAATCTTAGCAAGCTGAACGTAACAAACACGAAAAACGGGTTACAGGATTGTGGCCGTTGTGACAGACTCTCAAATTCCGTTCGGGTATTGGCACCAATGACACTCCAAGAAACAGGAGGAAGAAACAATAAAATATCCCCTTTAAAGGACAACTCTGGTTCAAAAGGAAACCAAAATGTATGACTAGTATTGCTTTAGTGACACGAAATATGATTACAGCCAAAATGTTACGTCAAAGTGAAGCCGCGTCTCCCCTAAAACCGATTTTAAACGTGCAGCCAGCTGCTCTTCAGCGGGCGGCAAGCAGGTCAGCTTTTAGTCAGGCAACACTGAGCGACACGTATCGGAGCACCACAGTGGCATCACATCGCGGCTGTACAGCTGATGATCAGTGTTGCCATACCTCTCGAGCAGGTGGTGTTTCAGTTTTGCTGTAGAGGCCCGAAACCAAACTTTGAGCCCATCAACACTACATACAATATTTAAAAAAAAAAACTATCCTTTGTGATTTAGGGACACTGATTGGGCCAGAAACAGTCGCAATCCCAAATTCGAAAATATTCACCGGAGTGGCCCTTTAAGAAACACGAGAGAGGTCATGACGCATCTTCTTTAGAGAACATGAAACAATCTCCAAGTCGGAGTCACACTGCATATACATCATACAAAAGACTATCTGCATACAGATTCGAAAGTAAGTCACCACGAGATTTGAGCAGCAAGGCAATGGGTTCAAGGAGAAACTTGGCACGAGTCATTCTAACCACCGATATTTGCGGCGACTCGAGTTTGCAGACTGTCTTTTGCATGATGTGTGAGCAGTGTGACTCCGGCTTTAGGGGACTATGAACAAATTTTACGACACCACAAAATGTTTGCTTCTCGTTGGGGAGGAGATCTGACTGTAACACCACGCGGAAAGCGAGATAAATTATTTTCCCGTGTTTCTGACGCAGCATTCGGCCGACACAACCGAAGGCCGCGTCAGCGTTTGGAGGGGCACGCGGTCAATCTGAGAAGCATTGCGTTCAGTCGGGCCTCGCATTAAACAAATGCCCAGCTTTGCAGAAAACAAATTGGACAAAGCGCTTCACCGTAGTCACATCTCCTCTCCAACGGGACATGCAGATTTTAGAGCCGTCGACTCCGCGAGCAACCTACGCGCTTCCTCCGCGCGTCCGGTTAGACCCGACGAGCGGAGGCGGCGTTAGCGCATGCAAACTTCGTGCTCGAGTTGTGGGAGGGTCTGGAGGTATTAGTGGGTTGCCCGCTGCAGTGCCACCCGTTGTCGGCGACAGAGTGAGAACAGCGGGACACGTCTTTTGAACGCCAGGCCTCCGGCATGCACTCCGTCGTTGAAGCATTGTCGAAGGTAGAAAGGGACAACTACAGCTCCTCCCCGCTGTTCTCATCCTGCCGGCAACTATAGAGGACGAGGCTTGCGCCTTGTCTTATTGGTTGTCCCTAGTGAATCCACGCAGCGCCACCCTACTCAATTCGCTGTCAACACGCCTTGCAGCATCTCACAACCTAGCGAGACGCTAGGTTGTGAGACGTACGTGTCTACCGCCTTGCCGTACACTTGGAGGATCCGCTCACGACGACGTAATGTGCAGACCTCCTCGTCTTCTAGGTGGCACCACTCTCGGGGGAAGGGTCGGCCCTTACCTTTCTCCCGTGCCGGCCCTCTCCTCGGCCCTCTCCAGGTCTGCCTCCAGGAGTGCGATGCGGCGGGCCATCTTCGTTACACATGCACGCATGCGTTGTCACACATGGGGAGAGGGGGGGGACCACACGGGAAGGGGGAAAGGAGGAAGGGCACAGGGTCATCAGCACACGCTCGGAAGGCGCGCAGGGCAGTCGGCGGGAAGCCCACCGCACCAAACGCAAGGGCCGCGGAAGGGCGATGCAAATGGAACTATGGCCTCGCGAATTCGCTTACGACGTACGAAAACGGCAAGGGTTCATTCAGATGGCAGACATCTCGTGCCGAAGAACATTTCGGGACCTTACGGTCGCCAGCCCATAAGCGACGAGCAACGTGTTCTCGGGCTCGGGGTGTCCCACGATTAATGCGAGCCACTGCTGTTTCGTATGTCCTACACGACATCCGCAAATTAGTGAGGCTGCACAATCTCGCAGTTGCGAGCCAGAATTCCCGCGTACTTGCCCTTACGGTGGCACTTCTGGCGGCCAACAAGCGCATCCGCAGTCGCGGCAGCAAACCAGACACTCGGCAAGGGGTGCGACCACTTACGTCTCACCAGTCTCTGCACGCTCCTCGGCACGCTCGAGATCGGCCTCAACCATGGCCAACTTGCGGGCCACCTGTGGCGCGCGGCAAAGCCTCCTTCAGTGCCCGCCCGACCCCCACTGTGGCGTTGACTTGTTCGCGGTTAGCATGCGAGCTAAAGCTATGCGGAGCACAAGTCCGTCTGGTTCTCAAGGAGGGGTTGCAGCGACGGCAGAACACAGAGCTCTGATTGGAGGATAGTGGGTAAACCTCAAGACAGCTTGTTTTGAGGTCTACCCACTATGCTTAATCAGAGCCAGTCAAAGCTCCACATTTTGACGTCCCCACAACCCGAGGAAGAGAAGCAGACGAACTTGCACTCTGCATAGTGTTCTACTGAAATGGCTTCCCCATCTGACCTTCCAGCACAGGCCCATGCAGCTAGACTTTTTTAATGATGCTATAATTATTAAGCCCGTGCTGCACGACGGTAAAAGGGTGAAGGCTAAATGAGCCGGTTGCAGCAACTGCTCGCTATTTCACTGTGTTTCTTCTTTGTCACAAAAACACTATTCACGCTAATGAAATACAGGCTTACACTCTAGCCTCTAATTTCATGTCCCTAAGTCATACTGCAAATATTAACTGACAGTTACCCCCGCCAAACAACAGTGCTGGCCCTTACAAGATGAGTCTCCTAACAGTGAGTTTCTTCAATTAACAACTTTCACTAGAAGCGATGACACATTCATTTTGTTCAAAGATATTCTCACTACACGATGAGCTACGATGGCCCCTTTTTACCATGCAGGAGGGCTAGCTTATGCTGCTGGACATGTCTTGTTACAAACGGAAAAATTGAAGTATCCATAACAAAGCAAACGTTCCACATCAGACAGCTTAGCATGCAAGCTCAACGCGTGCTGGGTTAGAGCGACGACCTATGAGACAGGCTGACCCCTGCACACACACATATCGAAGGCACATTCGCAGAGAAGCGTGGCCATTGCCACCGTTTCAATCTCTGCCAAAACACTAGGATCGTGCAGAGTTAGTGGACGTGAGTAATCGCACCAATGTAAAATTTCTGTCACACAACAAACAAACAAAAATCAGTCTTTCGTATGGTTAAGGAATGCACAACAACATAGACAATGCTCACACTACAAGACAAGGCTTACGAGAGGTACACAATCGGCAGTCGTGGCAAATCATACTGGCAACATCAAATGGCTGGAGTGGAGAACTACATTCTGGCCAATTCCGACAACGAACCTCAGCAAAGGGGCTGCGTCGCTTTTGGGAAGGAATGATGAGCAACTTGATGATGCACAATTTTCAAAATAACTGCTGCCAAACGTTGAAATAGAAGAGTTCCAAGAGTATGTAGTCACATTCCCACCCCCCCACCCCCCTTCTCGCTTTGCACAGCAGGCACAAAAGCTATGTTTGGAAAGTTTAATTTTCGTTGCCACGGCTCAACGGAGCCCAGAGGATCTATGCGGAGATCGAGTCGTCTGCCTCTTGCGCAGGAGTTGCGGTGACGTCAGAATGACGCTGGGCTCCGATTGGCTATGATTGAAGTGATAGTAGGTAGACCTCAATGCTAGATGCCTTGAGGTCTACCCACTATTTTTTTCAATCAGCCAATAAGAGCTCCACGTTCTGACATCATCGCAACCCCTGTGCAAGAAACAGGCAAACTTGCGCTCCGCATAGCTTCATTATGCTAATTTTGGCAATGCACATGTTCCTGGCTACTACTTCATTTTCCTACCAAGTATTCTCCGAACGGAGCAAATCCGAAAACGGTGATTTAAGGAGTGTCCACTTCACCGAGCTTTAGCTGTGCAAGTTACGCACACTTCGAGCGAGTTAACACAAATTGCGCAAGTTTTTGGACGACTCGCACAACACGAGTAACTAGAATAGCGTGAATTACGCCAAACTGCACGAGTTACGCAACAGCCTAAAAACTTTGCGGAAGGGACAGCACTGACAAGCAGGCGGCACTCGTCTTGCACGAACACCTCTTTTAAATTAAGAAAAGACCGTAACAACCGCAGCTTCCAAACTCCAGCCACTTGCTGCCGCCCCAAGCACAAAACAAACGGAGCGATGACCTGGCTCAGCAGGGCACGAAGCAGGGGTCAGAACCACACACAACGCGAGTGTGAGTGGATTGGTGTGAGTGCGACGACCAACGACAGGCACGCCGTGCGGGTTTTTCCTCGACACCAAACGACACCCTTCGTCCCGGCAGAACCACGTCACCTCGTCGTATTTCCTGTCGGCGTCCTCTGCCATGGTGCGCGCTTCCTTCAGCTGACCCTCGAGTCCGTCCATCCGCTCTTCATCCGTGATGCTCCTGTGCTCCAGCATTTTGCGCATGCTGCGAGAGAGAACCACCGACAATGTTCAGCGACCTGCGCCCCGTTCTCTCACCTCTTCGTATTTCTTGTCGGACTCCTCCGCGATGAGCCTCGCCTGTCCCAGCTGGTTCTCGAGCAGCGTGATCCGGTCGTCCTCCATGTTGGTGCGGTTCTCCAGTGCCTTGCGAATGCTTTGGTCGCGTTCCCGCACGTGAGTTAGGGCAAAGACTCGTAAAAGCCGTTTCTAGAACTCCCCCGTACTTTGTTCCGTCGTAAGCACGAGCAAAGTAAGAGTGCATGACGCAGCACGTTCAATGTGGCACTCGCCGTCGTACCTTCTGCTTTGCTCGCACTTACGGTGAAGTAATGAATGTGAGCCTATACCCTACACACGGCATCAACTTTTGTGTGCTATGTCGTCGAGGGTGGTGGTGTTTCTGCAGCGCTGCAGCCCTACACTGCCATGAGGACATGTGGCTTCGTACTACGCCTCGTTCGCACAATGACACTGCTGGGGCACTGCCCAAGCTATGCTAGCCTCGACAATATGACACAAAAAAGTGGACGCCAAGTAGGAAAGCTGTCTAAGCTATGCAGGTCAGCTAAAGCCTATGTACCCTTATTGAGATCATGACTGATTAATTTGAAGGCGGTGATTAACCCCTGAAGTGCCTTGGACGAGCTGAGCTCGTCGGCCACTTTCTGGCTAAAAATGCTGTGGACGAGCTCAGCTCGTCCACTGGTTTTTTCGGTTGCCCCTAGCTCGTCCGAGTAGTTTTGCAATGCTGATCACAGATGGCAGCACTCGTATTAGTTGGCAAATATTTTTTCACCTCCGCTGATCTTTGTGTAATAAACTTTTCAAATTTTATGTGTAATACTAGAGGAGTAACAATTCAAAATAAAAAAAAAAAATCTGGCACTTTCAGGTTACTTTTGGAAAAAAAATTTGCCACTTAAAGGACAGATGCAAAGGAAAAATACATTTTTTTTAAACAGCTTAAATGGAAAAAGGATGAAGGCCCACCGAAAGGATGCCAGAACAAGCTAGACTTCCTCAAAGGCCAGGCAAAAGGGATGCCGGAACGAACAACTTTCCCAAAGGCCTGGTAAAAGGACACCGGCACAGACTAGACTGTTTCAAAGGCCTGACGGGGGCTCACCGTTCGCTCTCGTCAGCGGCCTGCGAGGCCTCTTCCAGTTTCTGGGTGGCGATCTTGAGTCGTTCCTCAGAGCGTTCCAGGTCCTCCTCGAGCAGCTGGATGCGCCTGTTGTGCGCAGCCACCTCCGCCTCGGCCTGCAAGCCAGAGAACACGCACATTCACAAATCTGGCCTTTCACAACTAACACTTACGATAATTCCTTGCAAGCTCTAAGCAAAGTGTCACGATCGTCTGAGGATCTGCCAGAAACTGGCAGTCCTAAAACTGCGGTCCACGCCGATTCAGGGATGAGTCGGGTTTCGACAAGGAACGGATGCACAGCCGAGAAATGCTCAATCGCGGGTTTCGCCTCAAAAGTGAAATATGAGGGTTTTATGTGCCAAACCAAGGAAGGGCATCTGGCACACCCAAGGGGAGGACGGAAGATTAATTTGGACCACCTAGGGACCTTCCGACGTGCATCCGGGACCACGGTTACATGGCACCGGCTCCACAATAAGCATCTGACAAACTGCGAACCCCCCAGCCGGGATTCGAATCGGCTGACTGAGGATCTGTAGTCCGGCACTTTGTTACAATTGGCCGACGATCCGCCATAGATTGGGAGTTCTTCTGCGATCTGTGTCTATTCAGCAATCACTACATTGCAAAAGCGTCAAGTTTCAACGAGGAACGAAATCATCAAAATGGGCATATTCTCAGTCAGATTTCTTACATCGCCTTGTGCTGGTTTCTATACTACATTCCCCTCCGAGTGCAAGTGTGGCAGAAGCTAATAGGCTGTCAATGTCCCTACCGAACATGCATGCTCGTGCGATGTAAGCATCGTTCAGAGCAATGCGCTCTATGTGCGGCTTCAGCATCACTTGCGTATTATGTAAAACTAACTACAGCTACAGCAGCGTTCATCCTTTCGCCGTGGAGGTGCCCGCGTATGCTCGCTGTCTAACCTGATAAACCTCCTCGGTGAGGTCGCTTCGCGTCAAAAATATTTATTCAGGCGAACTGGTGACTTCGATTTTTGCTTGACTGTCCATGACATCAGCACCCTTTCAATAGACCGTAAACAGTGGGTGTTGGCCTTAACTCAACCAGAAATGCTAACATTGAGTATGCTTCTATTTCTATACTGTTGTCTGGCTATTTGGGTGTTACCTTTTTTCTCGTGTACCTCTGCGATAATTGGCAGTTAAAATATTCGATTGGGTCCCGTGAATGACGCCCATATGAGCTGGGGGTTAAGGTCTGTAAAGTTTGGGAAACACTGCCATAGAGAACTGGAAATCCACACATATGAGGATACCTAGAGAGCATGCCTGCCATGAGTCTAAGCAGCCTAAATTCTTTCTCAGTCTAATTAAATGCCAAGAGTCGGACGATGCGAGCACGTTTTGTGACGATACTCCAAAATTCTAACGTAACGATGAAATTGTTCTGGAAGAGAATTCACTCCAGCCGTTGACTAAAGAATAATAAGGTTGAGATACGAACTGCTATTTCAAGGTTCAAGTCGGTCACAATATCTTGCGCAACTGCACCGCACACTTTTGACCCTTCTTCATGAGAGTAGTGCTATAAGATGCTGTTAAGATGTTACTTCACACCAAATTCCCATTGGCTCCACAGCACCACTATCAGTCCATCTAGCCTCTGTCTTCTAAAGCTGGCTCTTCTGGTCTTCTTTTTTTGTGCAGACAGACTGGCTTACATATAACATGGAGACTGGCCACCATAATTGCTAAGGATTTGATTAGCCACAAACATTACTTAATGTATCAATGGCCATAACATACAAAAAAAAAAAAAAATCCTGAGCATGCGGCCACATGAAATTTTGAGATAAATCAAGATACCTATTAGCATTTCATTATGTTTTTCTTCGGACTAGCAATAAAAAAAAGATCCGAGAATTTTTCCCACATACTGACATTCTAAAATGTTAATTTTTCCCCCAAACAATTAATGACTGGAACGTGCTGCCCAACTCACTGTACTGCTTCCTAACGTTCAATCCTTTTTTTTGATGAAATCATCTTATTGTAATCTGTTCTGCGGGGTTAAATTGTTTAACCTGTGCTTGCTGTTGATCATGCTCTTGTATTATATTAGTATATATTGGCATGTTTCTCTTGTATGATTTGTATGTCCTTTGTATATTTTCTGAGTTTTACAAATTGAGGGGTATTGTGGAATGGGCAAATGCTCGGTATTTTACAAGAATACCCAGAGAAATGTCTAAAGCAGAGCTATTTCAATAAATAATAGCACCTTACATTAATCTCTAAAGGTAGCACATACTCTCACAAGGTGTATCAGATGCAAAAAAAATATGCCATTTTGTTTGAAAACAACACAACACAGCGCATCTTTGTCGACTTATCGTTTCAGGTGACCGCCAGAGCCAGCAGGATTTCCTGCGCATATAGATTAGACGGGCTTCGATGGGGTTTCGAGGGAGTATGAGATAAAAAGTTTGCTGCAATACCTTAACCTTCCTGTGCACTGAAGGTATCAGGAACGATGATGCATCTGGCATTTCTCCGGCCGAGTTACCTCAGAAGCTGCAAAGTGATGCACTCTGCTGACTCAGAAGGGCACCTCTATGTTGGTTACGGATGTGTCAACTGAATGATCACCCAACAGCAGTAAAGTACTCGAGCACGATTCACTAAGGCCACCTTCCTGAAACACTAATCACATTAAACACGCCAGCGTCTTGTCGAGTGTTATCTCCGCATCTTCGGGACACCTCCATGTTCTAAAGCATTGCCAGTGCCACGAAACAATAGTTGGGAGGCATCAGTGCTAGCTCCCTGGGCCGCAGACAAATACATCAAAAGCCTGACAGCTCGCACCAAACACGAAGAGGGGTCGCTTCACGGCCTCTGTATTCCTCACACAAAAACAGCACCAAAATCTCGACCGTAGTCGGTTCGCCAAGATCGTGGCAATTTCGAGTGTTTGCCACAGGAATTGAACAAATAAAACAGCCTCCTCTTTTTTTTTTTTTTATCATTTGTAATACACTCAGGATTCCTTCCGTTCCCCAACGGTCCGGAATGTGTTTCACGCTTGAGCAAACCGCACGGTTGAAACGGAAAAAAATATATAAACGAATCAAAGTAAAGTTAAAAAGACAGCCGCTTGGCTGACGTCAGGCCTTCAGGACGCGATCTCTTGCGTTACTGAGTGTAGGTTTTCCCTTCCAAACACTCGGCTGACTGTGTGTTGTGCGATTCGTCATAGCACAAGGCAGTACACGAAACCCACAGTAAACGATACTCCTAAGTGCGAACGCCGGAGCAAGAGCCGACAACCCGAGGAATTTCACGAATCGCTCTCTGTTCCCGAAACGATATCTCGGCAAAAACGAGTGCCACAGATAAAACAAACCGGCGGACGAAGCAGTGTCCGAAGCGGTGGTCAAAAAAACAACACAAACACCGAAAAAAAAAAAAAAGTATTGGTACGCCGGCCCCAGCTAACGTTTGCAGGTGTAAAATGCGACACCTTTTTTTCTTTTTAATTTTGAGTAGACGTTTGCAGCGAGCTGGCTGTGGTATTTGGTATATTGCCCGTGGCCTGAGATACAATCTGTCCTCCGATTTTAGTACGTGCTCCTCTAGAACGCGTTTTGCATTCCTCCAAGGACGGATCGCGGCTACACCGGAACGCCGGATGTGTCTCCGAGCGAGCGCGCCGGCTAGCTGCGAAGTTCAACAGCCGGCACCCGCAAACGCAACTCCCACCTTTTTCACGACAAACAACAAAAGCTCGGACCTCATCTGCATGCGAATAGAGAAACGAAAGATAAATAAACGACAGTTTGAGATTAGCCGATTCTCACAATGTAGGCCAATAGCCCTTATTCGGGCTCCAAAACTGGCCGGCAAACTAAGTTTAACGAAGCTTCAGAACCTCCTTATACAGTGCGACGTGAGTTGAAGTTTGTTCGGGATAAGTTACCACCGCCCAAGCCGCTCTCGTGAACCAGGCTGATTCCGTGGCGATCGAAATGACAAAACATACCTCTTCACGTCGCCGGATTTCGTCCATAACCCGAGACTGTGCGTCGTCTGCTTGCTCTTTGGCGGTCTCCAGTTCGTCTTTCATGGCCCTCATCTTTTTCTTGAGCACCTCTAGCAAAGTTCCCTGCTGAATCGCACTCATTTTGGCAGTCGGGGCGCTAACACGGGAATACTCGCAAACAGGGTGGAGACCAAACTCCTGAAGTAACCCTAACGTGGACGATGTGTCGGGCGCGGATTGATACTGGTGCCACTGGGCGAGGCTCCTGAAGCCGCAAGGTGGTTGTTGTCCTGCCGCAATGCGTCGACAGAAAGTAGTTACACCATTTAAAGTTCATATGCCGTTAGATACTGCAATAAACTGCGAATATAGATTTAAGCAGTTTGTTTCCGTGCTATAAGAATGTCTCAGAGGCTTTGTAAGAGGATGGAACGCCGATGTCGGTTATACACGTGCGAAGGGCTATTTTGTAATCGCATTCCGGAGAAGCCAAGCAAAGTACGGCGGTATTCGATTAACGAAAATTTTAAATTTTAGCAAAAGAAGACGCATGACACTTTTTATTCAACACACGTTTCTTTTAACAAATGTGGCAAAAGTAAACAATGTACGAAACTGTCTAGCAGACGATGCCTTTTGCGGATTAACCGGTTTGGGTTTGCGCAAGGTTGGGTTTGCGTCGTCTGCGTTCACTGATTTCTATTGTAGTAGCCTTGGCTGCGTTTTATTATTTAAAAAGATACAAGAGGAGAGATAGAATATAATAATACGATATATATGTATAAGTTTGAAATCAGTATATTCTGAAAAATTAGAAAAATATTTTAACAATAGAAGAAATGTCTAAGCAACCACTACAAGTCCTTTTCATATTCAGTTTCGGTTTCAAAACCACAGCCGATATTCCCGATATACGTTGGTATTGTTGAGGACATATCGCGCTCTCTCTCCTTCCTCTCTTTCTATCTTTCAATTTTACTCTATTTATAGACACGTTTTCTTTCTCCATTTCATGTGAACTATTGCTTCCCTCGTATCTAAAGAATTAAAGCGGACATCGAATATGCGGTAACGACGTCAACTGGAGATAGCCTTGGGTATCGCGACGCGTTTTCTGAAAGCGCGCCATTGTGCGACGGAATGTGGGTTACACAGTTTCGTTTTGTTACAACGCGTAGCATTTGTATTTTTTTTTTTTTTTGTGACACGCAGTTTGCGTGCATTTAAGCAAAAATACAATCGTAAAGTCACGTTGTTCCTTACCACAGGCTGTCACGAAGGCGGTGTATAAAAGAAATAGATATACGATATCAAATCTACCAAACCGTACAAATGAAGGCGTAGAGCGAATACGTTATTAAAATAATGTTTTTGTTTGTTCGTAAAAATGAATTGATCAACTTCGTCTGGAAACGGTCCTTGTGACCATATATTTATTTATTCTTTATTTCAACTATAGTCGGTGACAGGTTAAAAACCCAGGGCGAGGGAAAGGAGGGCTGTAGAGGAAAGAAGAAACATCCCCCTCTTTCCAGCATTTCGCTTGCTTCCTCCTCCCCAGCCTTCCTTTCCCTCGCGTTGGATTCTTGACCTGTCACCGAGTATAGTTCGTGTGGATATTCACTACACACAGGAGTAGGCAAACGTTTATGTCTACAGCGTGCTCAGTATTTTTTCCCTTGTTTGTTTCTTTAATAAAAACGTCGTTTCCATGAGCAAGATCCACCATGTGGGTGATTAAAAACGGCGCCACTTTGAAGAAAAAGTATTAATTTATTTTTGCCAGAGTTCTTTCTAGAGTACTTCCTCAGTGCCCAACCAGATCACAAAGATAAAAACAAAAAGCTAAATTCTGAATTTCTTTCTATAACCGAGCGCATATTTTGCATGAACACTATACATGCTGTACAAGTGGCTGTGTTTATTGTTCAAGCCATCACGTAACAAAAATAAATAAAAAATAAGAGTAAAGCCAGATTTTAAAAAAATGCACAGCTGCGCTCCTTCGTTGTTCGTTCTCTGCTGCAAATGTTGCAGCGATGTCATCAATTTACTCGCTCTCCCCTCTCTCTCTCTCTAAAAAAAAAAAAAAAAAAAAAAAAAAAAAACAGTGTTATGTTTTTATGACATTTTCACAACGGCATTGAAGTCATTGCCGTGAATGCAGGCTCTACATCTCGTACCCATACCCTTTAACTTGAATCGGCATTTCCCGGCCATATGGACTAATTAAGCTCATCACGATCCTACTATTTCGCAGTCAGCTTAGGACAGCTACTCCGACTGAGCATTCATGTTTACCGTTGCTCTGAATGCTGTCACTCTGAAGTAAGAACTAAAAGTAATGACATAGCGTGTTGTTAATCTGAAGTGTTGCTCATTAAGTGTCAATATATAGTACGACGTGCCCGCATTTCTTTCTTTTTCATGACCTGATGGCTACTGCAGCTCTTGTCAGGGTTTAATTCACACTAACAGCCTGATACAGCTCCAGGCAGACAATGAATGCTAGCGATTAAATTAGGTCTAACAATTTTTAAGCGGGATCGGTATTCACTGGCCCCCGTACCTGAGTCCGTTGCCGCAGTGACCGTGCGGATGCGCCCCGGAGTGTGAAGTTCCCACAATTAAGATTGCAGTTCCGGGCGGACGATAAGTAAAGCCCTTTCTGAACATGTGTTCTGAGAGTTACAAGACATTACGAGGACATCCACAGCTACGCAATCGTCACATATGTCTTCTGAACGTCCACGAGACATCCACAACATGTTAGGACAGTCTGAGGACATCCGCAACTATCCAAGTGTCACAGATATCTTAAGCACATCCACGCGACACCCATAGCACGTTAGAAAATTCTGAGGACGGCGGCGGCTACGCGAGCGCCAGGTATACCTCATACACGTCTACGAGACATCGACAGAGTCTAAGGACACTCTGGAGACGTCAGCAGCTACCCAAGCTTCACAGATGTCCTATATGAACGTTCGCGGGACCACCTGATCCACCAAGTACAGGGACAGAAGCGTGTGCTCACAGCCTGCAGGGCTTTATCCTTCTCTTCCAGCTTGTTGTTGGCCTGGGACAGCTGCTCCTGCACCTGATCCAACTCATTCTCGATGGACTGAATCTTCTTCTGCAAGCTGCGGACTTCCTCCTCGGCCTGCGTGGAAGCAACGCGGTGGTCACGAGCAGGTCACGCGCACAACATATTTCTTAGGAACGCTCACAGGGTACACAGAACATGCTAAAAGAATCGATAATTTGTCGATGAACGCAAGGCGGAATTCGGCATTCCAGAACATGACCTATGTTTTCAATGTGTGTTCTTTGTTGGGGTTTAGTTGGGGCAGAAGCGTTCTTCAATACCTTGCGCTTGCAGTCTAACCGCTCAATCACACTGGAAACGGATCCGCGCTCGCAAAGCGGTTGCGAAAGCGGTTGTATAAAGATCCAGTACAATTGCATGCGCACTCGATGACATCAAGTGCGCGTGCCATTGTACTGGATCTTTATACAACAGTGTTCGCAACCGCTTTGCGAAAACGGATCCGCTTCCAGTGTAAATGAGCGGTAAGAGCGAGCTGTTTGCTCGAGGGCGCACTTCGGCTGCACGAACCCTCGCGCATCACGAGAGCGGCTGCCAATGCTATGAGCTCGGGCGTCAAGACTTCGCTGGAGCCAGAGTTGCGCGTCTTTTCTGCACGGCATGTTGATCCTGTTCCTCAGGTGACTGCATTCGGCGAATAGCGGCGCCGCGCGTTCAAGGCGCGCGGCGCGCTCAAAAGCAGGGGAACGTACACCGGGGCACGTGCAACGTCTACTTTCCTGCACGGCATTTGATCCGGCTCCTCACGTGATCGGATCTCGGCGAATAGCGGCGCGGCGGCACGTGGAAAACAGACACGCAACTCTGGCTCCCGTATACAAGAACTCTAGCACAAAGCAAGTTCGTTTTGGTCACTGTTCTGTTTCTGCTTTTGAGTTCTGCTTTTGAAGGATTTTGTTTCGGGGGGGGGGGGGAGGCCCGCCCATGAAAAAATGCTGTATGTGGGAGAGGTGGCCAGAGGAGGTCCCAACAAAATAAAAAAATTTCAAAAAAACCCTTTCCTCCCCCCCTTCACCCCCCACCCCGCAGCTACGTGCCTGGCTGTGATCGTGGCGCGCGATGCACCAAGTATGGTTCTGAAGACTCTCTCGAAAGGTGAGTTGTAATAATAATAATAATTGGGTTGTGGGGATATTTATACAGCGTGTAGTTGGTCAGCCATTAAAGTGCACACTGTCCGCCGGTATGAAAGGTTCCGGTCATTTTCGCCAAGAGTGTGCTTTTAACGCGCAAACACTCAATGGATTGATCACCAGCAATTGTTATAATTAATATTAAATATTTATTTCTTTATTTATGTATTTACGGCACGCTCGTGCCCACCTCACCATCTCAAAATGAACTGTGAAAACCTTTGAAGCAGTCTGTTTCGAAAAAAGTGCATTACTGCACTAGTAAGACATACATGCATGATAGTGTCCCAACAGAGCCTCTTCACCAGCTTGTGTTTGTTTTGGGATGGTGACTTTTTTTTTTTCCGTCTTCTCTTTTTCCACGGCATACTCTTACCTAACCTCGCGTTTTAGCCAATGGTTTGTCACCAGTGTTTTGTAAATTGTCTTTTATTTCTGTATTAAGATTTTGTCTTTTCAACCGGTACGATCTCCGGATAAAGTGACGTCATTTCAACCAAGGACGGATAAACAAGAAAACTTGGCAAAATTGTTTAAACGTCAAGAAGCAGCACTGTAGTCAGGCGGCACTTGCTGACTTTTTTGGTGGCAACTTTTTAAAGTAAAGCATTTAAAGCAAATTACCGGTTTGTATGGTGCATAAACGATTGTGTGATATGATATATTAAAGATGATATCATCACCGGCTGCCCGCGTAACTAGAATCCCATCATGCTTTTCGACTTTTCAGTTATTTTGCAAAAGATCTCGCAAGGTGTATGTAGCGTTCCGCAATGTACCTGCGACTTAATTACAGGAGAACTTTTCTTTGCGTCTACCCCCCGGGCCCATTGAACTAAACCCACTTTAAATAAACAAAAAAATCTTTAAGGTGCGTTGTAATTTTTTTCGAAACTGAGAATAAATGGAGTGTGTTTTATGTATAAATATCAATCATAAGACAACATTTGTAATAATAAAAATCATGTAAAATATTATATTTTTATTTGGACCAACCATAGAACAGCGTAGTTACACGACTTTGCTACGGCTCCGTCTTGTCCAATGAAATATCACAATGACTTGGTGATCTTTTTAGCCTCGGCTTCAAATGTTTTAGGAAATGTATTTTATTTGTAAGGCAAGTTTTCAGTTGGTTATTTTTACTACTTAAACAGACAACCTGAATACATCTTTGTAAAACTTATGCGCTCTCATAGCACTGATGTTTTCGCCACGTGATCTACAACCATGAAAGATGTGGTTGTGTTGTCCTAGTTTTAATTGCTTTATTCTCTCTTCATCCATCACTTGAACAAACACGCTCTTCTCCCAAGCAAGCGTGATATATTAAGTTCTCAGCAGTTTTCTGAAGCGTTGTGAGAGGTGCGGGAACGAACATGTGGCCCCAGAAAGTGGTTTGCTTGCACGACTATTCATGCAAACAAACCAGTTGTAGGGAACGACCACATCGAACATGCGCCTAAATCGTCTTGCGTACAACTTAATAATAAGCCTACACTTAAAAAAAAAAAAATGTGAGCTAATTTTTTGCAGAACAGGTAGACAGCTAATCACGGCGCACAAAAAAGAATTTCTGCGAATAACGAAATACGATTAGATCTGGATGTACATATGTATGCTGATGGCTGTACCCTCTATAACGGGCGCCAGCTTGCGCCACCTATCTACAAGTGAAAGAAAAAAAAATGCGATGTGGAGCAGGAACAATAATCGGGGGAAATATCATGTTAATTATCTCTCCGCACATGCATTTTTTTTTTTGTTTGTCTAATCGTCTTTTTAGCTCCGTCACTGGCTAGGGATCCTTTTATTGTTCGCCGTGATCGGAAATTTACGTGTTCTGTGGAAACGGTGAACTCACAAACTTTACGGGCGAGCGTTCAGGGGTGCATGTCTTCTAGAGCGGTGGAACGCGAAAATTCCGGAATACTATACAACTCCAGGCGAATTTATGATCTCGCTTCGTGATTGGCTTTTCGGCGTTCTAATCGGCATATGTCGCAATCTGATTGGCCACGGAGAGATAATAAACTACTCGAGACTCGCCACGTCCTGCGATTTTTAAGCGGTCAGTGACCATAAAGTTACAAAAGTGGGCATTGGTTTTAAACATGTCACCGCTATCTTCGGTGTCTTCTAGGCAAGGCGTGAGTGTTCGCAATGCGTTCCCCCACTCAATATAATCTGAAAATCGGCGAAAGCTACCGTATTTACTCGAGTAAAAGCCGCGCTATTTACGAACAAGGCCCTTGCGTCTACTTTCAGCCAATCATTGCGTTGCGCAGAAATAACATAGCGAATAACCAGATTGAGAACACGATTCTCCATACAAATGCAATCTTCACAGATGGTATCTTCGCACGAAGACAATATCTCTGTCCCGTAAACAGCTGGAATCATGCTGTCTATCGCGGTGATTGACAATCTGCGTGTTCTGCGGAAAAGCGAACCCTCAGTTTTTCTTCATAAACAGTGCGGCTATTGCTCGAGTAAATACGTATACACTCTAAAAAAAGTTAGTGCGTCTACTTTCACGCACAACCCTCGGAGAGCCAATCACCGCAACTTACGGAGGCAGCTCAGCGAATGCAATGCCGAAACATCTGTTTATACCAGAAAACGCAGTCTGAGTTGCGACATTAAGCAATGCAAAACGTCACGCTTGCATTGCTTAATGTCACAACTCAAACGGCGTGCTTTGGTCTAAACATATGTTTCGGTATTGTCATTCGCTGAGCTGCCTCCGTAAGTTGCGGTGATTGGTTCTCCAAGTGTTGTGCGGGAAAACAGACGCACGGGCTTTTTTTGGAGTGTATGCTCCAGTGGACCTATAGGACCACTGGAGCCCATATCCTATAGGCCCACTGGAGCCTGTAGCTTGGAGACTGGACCATTGGAGCCTATGCGGAGCCCAAGTTCGTCTGCTGCTCGCGCAGGGGTTGCGGTGACGTCGGACCGCCAAGCTCTGATTGGCTCTGTTTGGCCCTGATTGGAAGAATACTGGATAGACCTCAATGGTAGCTGCCTCGAGGTCTACCCACTATCCCTACAATCCTAGCCAATCAGAGTTCGACGTTCTGACGTCACCGCAACTTTTGCTCAAGGAGCAGACGAACTTGCGCTCCTCATAGGCCCACCGGCGGGCCTATGCGGCGAGCAAGCCCGTCTGCTTTTTGCGCTGGGATTGCGGTGACGCCAGAGCGACGCCGAGTTTTTTGATTGGCTTAGATTGGGAGGATAGTGGGTAGACCTCAATGCTAGGCGCCTTGAGATCTACCCATTATTTTTTTCAATTAGTCAAGAAGAGCTCGTCGTTCTGGTATCATCGCAATCCCAGTGCAAGAAGCAGACGGGCTTGCGCTCAGCATAGGCACCAGAGCGTCGGTGCAAGGCGGGTGACAACGCATCGCCGCTCATTGTTGGCTCACTGGAGCCGCAGCTCTAGCCGCTTGCAAACTACTTTTAAGAGAGTACTGTAATAGGAAAAATAATGACGTGAATGTGTCCGATACCATGCTTATACATGGTAAAGAAAGCTATTATTACATAAAAAGAAAATCTACGAGGAGATACACGATTATACAAAACTTATGCACTGTTACTTATGATGACGTAAATTTTAATGTGTTCTGGTGTGTTTATGTAATAAATCACATGATAAAATTTCTTCTTTTGAATTGAGAGATTCCCTTTAAATTGTTATATTGCTTGTTTTGCTATATTATTTTATTCTCATGAAACATAAACATTAAAACAATTTTAAACACAATTTTAAACAGACTGAAGCATAACTTTTAAAACAGGCTGCTTAGTTTCACTGGGACCATTTTTGCCTGTGTTGCTTAGCGTTGTATTGTTTTTCGTTTACAAAACGGTTTGTAGATATTCGCACTGTGCCAAATACGAAAGTTTAGAACGCTACGTGTGCTCTAACTTTCATGAAGTTAAAAAAAAGAGAAAAAACACGACTGACTGGCGATCTAATAGTTTTTATTGACGATATGAGTCAATATTTTAACTGCATGTCATGTGCAGACGCACAGTAACAAGGTTTATGCAAACCGGTTAGATTTAGCGCAGTGTAGCAAAGTCCAATGGCTAATAATTCTCACAAACTATAGACACTAAGCCTTGATCGTGTATCGTGCGTATTGCATGATATATAAGTGGAATGTTAAATTTGGACTGTGTGAACCTCATTAAAAATAAAGCTATAGGAATAGTAACACACCCGAGAACAATTTTTAGGTTGGCTGAAAATGTTCCGAGATCATCAACACACACAAACACGCACAGAAGCTTGTTTGTGTTTTCTTTGTAAGAATAACTTGTCTACAAACTGATAAGCGTTACTCCAGATACAAAGAAGCACCACGCAGTGTTCGAAATGTACACAGTTTGGTTAATACATGCTCGGATAGATCGCTAGTGAGAACTGAAAAACAAGAACATGTCGTACAGGCAAGAAACCCTCTGACGCACGAGCCAAACCGGCGAAATCAGCATGCAAATATTTCGATTCGGCGGCAAGCCTCAAAACCGTAGACCCGCGGTCGTTGGTTTACGTTAGGCCTAGCGCTGATGACGGCAAACACTCGTCTGACGTCACGTCCGGAGCGCACGCGTGGGGCCCGAGCGCCTGAAAAGCCATCTGGCGAGACGCGTGCCCATGTTTAGATACCGGGGGTGCCGTATTTAGCCGCGTCAAAATAGAAGCGCAAAGCAGCGGAACTGTTCGGCGCTGGACGCGGATCTCACTTCGGACAGGAGTGAGTTGTCGAGAGCGGTTCTCAGAAACTCGCGGTGGCCGTTCCATGGTTCCAGCTGCGGCTGCGTTACCTCGAGATCGAGTGACCTCGATTCGACCTGACCCCTATATTCAAAGTGGGTAACCAGAGACAAGCGACCCACTTATTTTGCCTTTTTTTTTTGTGATGATTCCTTACAATCCAGCGTGAAAATACATAGATCATCATGTAGACTGCTCTAGCTGTTCGCACTTATTTAATATTTTGTATACCTTGAAGAGCCCCACACATTAAAGAAGGGATCAGTCATTATCTGTAGCGATGAAGTAACAAAATGCAGTTATTATTAGCACGGTAAAATGGCTCTTAGTTATACGTTATTAGCTGTGGCCCTTTTCCGCTGTTGAGGATAATCAGTGGATGGTTAGCTAGAGATTCAGCGTTGAAAACGATTGATTAGGCCTAACGTGTTAAAATCAACGTTGCCGCACGTGCTGTCAGCTGGAAACCTGATCTCGACCTTTCATTTTTTTTGTTTTCTATATCATAGATTTCGGGAGGCTAAAAGCCTCCCGAAATTGTTCACAAGACTCAATGCACTCAGATTTCTCGCCCTGACTCTCGTGTTCTTGCCGTGTGACCTTAGGGGTCCACGACTGCGAATATTGCTTTCGTTTTCTAATCGGCGTAATTTGATTTAACTTGAAGTGCAATGACTGAAACTTTCACTGAAACTGGACACAGCAAAGCGGCACTTTATAGACACCATCGTACACAGGACAGGGTCAAGGGGGAGAGGGGGACGATGGTGCAAAGGACATCGGGCAACCAAGAAAGCCACAAGGACACGTCCTATACCTTCTCGGCGCGCAGGGCGGCATCCCTGGACTGCTGTTCCGCGGTCTCTGCTCTGTCCACCGCATTATCCTTCTCCAGCTTCATCGCCTGCATCTTCTTCTTGATGGCCTCCATCTTGGCTGCTTTCGGGGGGGGTGGCGGCTTCGGAGCACTAGACGAAGTTGGACCACGCACTTGGGACGCCCTGGGACGACTGAAGATCGGGTCTGGGATGAGAGCTCGAGCCGGGACCCCCCTTCCCCGGCTCGAAGACCGGAAGAGGCCTCGCGTGGCGCCCTCTCTCCGCCGCCCACGTCACTCGGGTTCGAGTTTCGCCCGGTCGCCCCCCAGCGGCCCGTGCCATATTTGGCACGGGCCCTCCTCCCTGACTCGAGGAATGCATCTTGTCGTGTGCGTGCGCTGTGGCGGCGGGGCTAGAGGCTCCGCCGCCGGCAGCCACCTTGGCGGGCAAGCGCGAGCGCGGGCCGCGGTCGTCAAACCGGATAGCGTAACCTTGTCCCAGAGCACAGGACGTTTCTGTGGCTCGCGGGCGGCCGTAGGTCTCTTTAATCCTCGCAAGGCCCGTTCGGATTTGGACGTGGCGTTAACACCTGTTGACACCGAAGCCGGGATGTCACCGTGTCGTTCGTCTGCTCCACTTTTCACATTAAGTTCGAACGCAGCCGACGCTACAACCAATGGAGCCAATCAAGCGAACCCAAAACTGCATCGTCATGGCGCTCGTCGACCTTGTGCGCCTGCTATGGGCAGCTAAACCAATCACGCACATAAGAATGCACAGAATCACGCCGCACCCACTGACAGGACGGTGAAAGCTACGTGATCGTTGGTCAAGTCAACCGTTGGTAGTGCAGTTCGTGATCACACTTTCTGCGTACGCCGTCGCTCAGAGAGTCAGGCGATAAGAGGCAAGGGGTTGATCGGTCCGGCGAGAACGGAGCTTCCACCGCACCGTCCGCTCCTCGAACAGCGTTGTGCAATACTCCCTCTCGGAGCGTGCTGATCATCAATCATTTCGATTTCTGCGTTAGGGCGTACGACTCGATCCTTGGTCATCTGTCTAAGGGTTCTATTATCGGGTAATTTTCTGGGGCGATTTTGCTTATCGTAATGAGACATATTTCTTCTAGTATGGGCTTTTTCAGCACTCGTCTCTGTCGTGTGTGTTATTTCCTATTGTCCCTGTCTGTTTGCGCTTTTAAACCTTATACCTACCATGGACCAACTACTCCAAACCAAAGTTTTAATGAGACGGCTTGTCGTCTTCGCTATGAAGCGTGTAAAAGGTCGTTTCCCGGCTCGAGGCTATCAGCAATTGACCGGTGCATCGCCACCCTTTAGGTGGTGATGCACCGGTCAATTGCATCACCACCCTTTAGGTGGTGACGCACGCACAGCGTGGCACACGTAATATCTTTGTAGTTTTGCCCTAAAGTAAAAAAACTACATGTCTAGACAACGTGCGATTTGTCTGCCATAGTATGACGACACTGGTATACGATGTACAACAGTGACAAATTTAGTCAGAGCAGGACGACTTGATTAAGCACGCAAGCTAGCATTGGAGCCTTTATGGTGTAGTAGTGATGCGGGACATCAAACCGGTGCGATGCTTTCACCGCCGCGTTCGGCCAGCGCCGCGCTTGACCTTGGCACATGCCCAATCGCGGCAGTCGGTGATCTCGCCGACTTTTCCGCCGAGTGCCCAACTAGATCGGAAAGGGCAGTGGTGGGGATTGAACACGGGATCCTTGGGTTAAATCCGCGCGCTCAGGAAAGAATATGCTTAGATACTTCATTATATCACAAGGGAAACAAATTAGTTGTTTGGAAGAACTTATAAAAACACCTCCTCGAAGCCTCAGAACGGCTGTCGACTTTCTGCTAAGAGACTCTGCTATCAACCAGGTCAACTTACGTTTGATTCAAATGATATCTCAACAAATTCAATGAAATTTTTTTTACACGTGCTTACAGAGTACATACAGTGCCATTTTGGCGTTCTATGCTAGATGTTGTCAGAAAGGTAATTTGCGATGAAAAAATGGTAAGCAAATGCATCACACTTGATGTCCCAGTGAAATTTTTTATAGAAAAATGGCCACTCTATAAGTTAAAAGCTAAAAAAAAAAAGCACTTCTTACTTTGTATACACAGAAATGGAAGGTATACCCTGGAGTCTGTACGGTAGAAAGAAGACATCGCCTGCAACTTCAGACGATTCACCTATACAAGACTTTAACAACGTCCTGGGTTCGGGACGGCTTGCAATTTTTCTGGTCGTATGTCATGCCCTTCTATGAACAGCCATCGAGGTTCTGCTTATCAGAAAGCTGTAACAGTGCCATCGCAACCGATTGAACATTTGCAGTGCAACGCGCGGAGTGAATACCCATGTTGTGGACCTACCCCGTAGATGATTGCTTTTGAGGTTGCAGTCAACTGTTACCGCTCGGATGACTGTACCCTAGCGTGGCCGACGGCGTGTGAGCTGGCTGGAATGTTTTCGAGCCGAGTTTTGCAACAGCGGCTAAGATCCTGTCGATGACGAGGCTTCCCGTCAGTGTGCTTCCGGACCGACTTCCGGCGCGCCAGGCTTCCGCATGCGCATCGTCTTCATCTCGGTCACCCAAGGTCTACTAAGGCACGTGACCGATTGTCCAACGCACTACTTCGGTTCATCAGCCTAGCAAACATTATGAGCCAATCCAGCTCCCCCCAAAGGGCAACGTCATGGCGTTCCTGCGTTCCTCATTTTTTTGAGCCTGTGCTATCATCGGCCGAGCCACTCAAGTGCAAGAAATGTAGAATACCCTTGCATACATAGCACCTGTGTTCGTATTCGTGCCTTCTAGCCTTTGGCAACGCTGTCACTTATGCTGAAAAGAGGCAAGAAAGGGTAGTGTTATGGCAAATCCCAGATTTTAAAGCTGCGCGTGGGGAAAAAAAACAAAACAACTTCGTCTCTCTGTCGTCGATTTGTCTGCCAGATACAACACGTGCAGTGGCGTACCAACTTGTTTTTGAGTGGGGGGGCAAACCCGACCCTCTTCCCCCCCCCCCCCCTTAATCGAAAATTCGGCGCAACTTTTGCCGAAGTTTTCTAAAGATGTGGCAATGATTCGGCAAAATTACAATGTTACCAGACTTAACATTGATATTTTGTTTTTTCTCACGAAAAAATTTTGCTTCTTCTTCTTAAAATAAATACAACTTGTAGTGCCTATTGAAACAGTTATGATTAAATAAGGTGATATTCTACAAGATAATTGTATCGATGTCGCTTTTGTGTGTTTACTGGCAATTTTAGTGTTTGCTTGCAGAAAGTGGCGTGACAACGAGGTTGGGTAGTAGCCGGAGCAGTCACGAATCACACTACGAGAGTTTTGATTTTGAGGCTTCATCAGCGCACGCCTGCAAGTGTGTTTACATTGTTAAAATAAAGACAATCACTGCGTTCTTACTTTCTCTGGGAGTCACCGTTTCGTGCGCGAAAACGGATGCAACGGTTGTTTAGCCTTCACCAGAAGAGATAACAATACTGTAAATATGCATGTTTTTCGATTTGAGTCACTTGACGTCAGCTTTGCATGAAAGTGCGCGTTCCATATTCGCAACGTGCCGTTTTTAACCTTTAAAATTCCGGTTTCTGGTGTTAGGACACACACGGACGTTTAAGAAGATGGGGAGAGTTAGGAATGTCGGATGTGCAACGTCGAGCATGATAGTTCTGTGTTTAACGACTACTTTTCATCAGTGTTTACTAACGAGTGCTTGGACTTCGTCCCCACTCTCCCTGAAGAGCTTTACGAGCGCATGCATCCTATTAACGTTAACTCCGCTGGTATTAAAACATTGATTGATAAACTAAAACTTACTTCGTCCGCTGGAACCGATAACATCAACCCTAAAATTTAAAAGAAACACCCGTGTTATTTCTAGTGAGTATTTGAAACTCATCTTCATTCAGTCCTCATCTCAAAGCTGCCTTCCATCTGACCAAAAGGTGGGAAGGGTAATTCCCAGTCTTTAAACAGGGCAGCCGCTCTTCCGCATCTAATTATCGCCCTAATTCATTGACTTCAATTTCTTGCAAACTACTTGAGCATATCCTCTACTCCAATATCACGAGGCACCTATCATCCCATTTCTTTTCTTTAAACAGCAGCACGGTTTTCAAAAGGTACTTTCCTGCGAAACGCAACTCTGCGACTTCATCCATGACTTGCACACTAACCTTGAATGTCACGTCCAAACTGACGCAGTTTTTTTTTTTTTTTTTCCAAAGCGTTCGGCCGTGTCTTCCATCAACGCCTTCTTTCTAAGCTATCATCTTTCTGCCTCGACCAATAACCGTTTGCATGGATTCGTGACTTTCTTTTTTCCCGTGTACAGGTCACGTCCATGATGATCATGAATCTTCCTTAATAAATGTATCCCCTGGTGTTCCCCTGGGGTTCGTACTTGGGCCCTTACTCTTTTTAATATTTATTAACGACATTCCCATTGGGATTTCTTCAAAAAAACGCTTTTTCGCCGACGACTGCGTCATCCATAACAAAGTAACTTGTGTGCAAAATAATAACCAGCTTCAGGAAGATCTAGATAAAATTAACAAATGGTGCAAAGAGTGGATTATGTCACCAAAAAAGTATAAACGCAAACTAATCAAATTCACCAAGAAAAAAAAAAACACTGTCATTTAATTACTTCTTGGACTCCGATCTGATTGAGACCGCTATTGTGTATAAATACCTTGGTGTAAGACTAACATCTGACCTTCCCTGGAATAACCACATTGAAGTCGTTACCGCCGATTCATCTGGAACTCTTGGACTAAGGAGACGTAACTTAAAAAATCGCTCCACCCTTTGTCCCTAAGCTAACCTTTAACACGTACGTCAGACCAAAAATAGAATATGCTTCAACCATCTGGAATACCCATCGACTGTACCTCATCAATACGCTGTAGAGGCAGTTCAGAACAGAGCTGCTCGCTTCATTTCATCCACTTATGACTTTTCTTTCAGTGTCTCGGCGCTAAAAACTGAACTAACCATGTCCTCTTTGCAGCTTCGCAGGAAAGTCTCTCAGCTGTGCCTTATTCACAAAATCTACTACCACATTCCCGACCTCAAAACCACTTTGTTATTACCCCTCGACCGAACATCATCTCGCCTCAACAACGTCTGCACCATCAAACACACTCCTGGCTCTACGAACGCTTTCAATTGGTCATTCCTTTCTCAAGCCATCAGCCATTGGAACAGTCCCCCATCCTCCATTGTCACCATCTTGGACCCTGCTGATTTCTCCTCTGCAGTAAAACTACACCTTTCTTGGCCCATGTGATGGTGTGCGGGGCTAGGCAGATCAGTGAAAACACTTACGCAGAGCGCTGGCCAGGCCAGACTTGTACGTAGTTCAACTACTTTACTCAAGTTACTGTAGTTTAACTACTTTTCTGGATAGTTTAGTAACTTTTAATTACATTTCTATTCTAGTAATCAGTAGTTTACTTTAACTACTTTTCCGAGTGACTTCCACTGAAATTACAAATTACTTTCTAATTTTAGTGGTTGTTTTGCCTATCAACACAGAAAAGATGTCGGAAGGTCAGCTGATATTTGCAGAGGGGGAAGCATGCGTAGTAGAAAAGGGGGGGATGGGATTAAAGAAAGTGATCTAGATAGTCCAAAAAACCCCACAATTTTAACGAGCCCCCCCACTGCAACAACACTGCTACGAGGCGCGGGGAGCGAACAGACACGACGCAAGAGAGGTCGAGTAACTGTGGGATTAGCTCCGAATAGTGGCGTTTCTTTGTATTCCGAAGCTCAAGGAGACTTGACGGATTTGAAGAAAGGGCTTGTCCCCGCTTCTCTCCAATGTAGGAATTCTCGCCCACTACAGGAGGTGCACACACTGCTCCTTTTACGGTGCAGGCGATAGAACCCCTAACAACGACGCTCACGCCGGATGGGCTGCTCGTGTATCACTCGAAGCGCGTTAACCCACCCCCGCGCCTGCGTTCACGCCGCTTCGCGGTGACGGTGTGCGGCTGGTAATTACAAATCTATTAACCCACCTAGCCCCCCCACCCCCCGTACACGCCGCTTTGCGGCGTCCGGTCGGCAACCCAAGCCCCGCTGCCCCCCCTGCACTTCCGTAAATAGAGTCGATACGATTTAGTTTAGCGATGTTTCGTCAACAACATTCGTTTTTTTAGTGTTAATGATAAAAAAGAAATGTAAATATCGCCAAATGCCTCGACAAAACAAAATGTTCGAGAAAAAAAATAAAAAGAAGTAAGCCGGCCCACACCATAAATAGAACCCGGGTCTGACACGTATGAGGCAGACATCTCACCACTAAGTTACGCTACTTCTTCGGAAACTCGCATTGCATCCGCTGCCTATGTTGACGGCGGCAGCGCCTATCTCCAAGCAAGCAAGCAAAACTTTATTTTGTGTAAGGGCCTACGTCCTGGTCTGGACGGCCCGTCCGGCCCATATCTCGCGGATGGATTCCGTAAGGTTACCGTGTAGCCTTGTTCGTGGAGCAAGGCTTTACGAACCAGCCAATCCGGCGTGCGTGAGCACCGTTGCTAGGGTTTGTATTGCCTGCGCGTTAAAAATATGCCCGCGCGGGTCGGGGGGCAGTGCCCTTGGTATTCCTTGGGCGCCGCCGGCCTGTGTCTGCTCTGCCCAGTGGCGGCCGTTTCAGGGGGGGCAAAACGCATGCCTTGCCCCCCCACTCTGAGAACTGGGGGGGCAAGTGCCCCCCTTGCCCCCCCGGTTGGTACGTCCATGAACACGTGGCCCTTTTTCGAGTCTCAAGCTTTCCGGCAAGCAGATATTAAAATAAGTCTTTGCGCAATCATGATCTTGCGCATGCTCTTCGTGCCTAGAAACTACTGAATACGAAGTGGTCAATGACCCCCTTGTCCTTCATGTGCTTTTTTCAATTGCGCCTGTTTGGAAGCAGACTCAGAAGAGGCGCCACTGGCGTTTTTTTATCTAAAGCGTCCACATTAAGCATCTTGACACATGCTCATTGTGCGAATTGATTAACATTCATCTTATTTTAGTACACCCCGTCTGCACACGTTCGCAAGGGAGGGCTCGGGGCGCCGCCATCTTACCGCTGGTGTGCGCCGGATCGTGGGACCACAGGATGGCTGGGTTGGATATTTACATGTACGTTTTAGAAAATTACGAAAGTGACATAATGGCGTCTGATTGGTGGAGGCAATTGGCTCCACCAATCAGATGCCATTACGCAAATTCTGCGACCTTTCAAAACGCACATGTAAATGTCCAACCTAGCCATCGTGGATGGCTAGGTTGGCCTTCGCTAAGCTGTGCCTACAGTTTCCAGAATAATGCCCCGACGTTTTCCATGCTTTGTGGCCAGACTTGATTTTGAAGACTCGCTGCTTGAAAATGTCTGAAGCTCGTATAGACCTTTTTCTTGTACTCTCCTTCCCAGCTACCTAATAAGCATAACCAGTATGGGCGACGAAAAAATAGTAAAACGTTTCAAGCTGTGTATAGTAAGAAATAGAGGGGAGGCAAAACGAGAATGTGTGGCAGCTACGCTTAAGG